ATATTTTATTTTTTATTTAATTAAGAACTCCAAGAATTTCCATTAAACATTCACAGCAGCTTTGTGATAAAATAACAACACAAATATCCTGAGATTACTTTTATTCATCTTTATTTTCTCAAAAAATAAATTTACATCTTTTAATTTATGTTGTTTTGTAAGTTAAGGAAGACTGATAGATTCTCTTTTCCAAAACAAATATCCTAATAAGTAATAAATTTTAATATTTCCATTCACCTGATTATTGCAAGTATCTGACAAATTGTAATCTAAAGGCTGATATAAAGGCATTCTCGGTCTTTAATGTTTCGGCACATCATTGCACATTTAACTGATGGTCACATTTTCTATCGGACTTTGATAGACTAAGGAAAAGGACAAAGAAACGAATTGAAACTTTATTGAACAATTAAATCAATGAATTTACCTTAGAAATGTCAATGTTTGTCAATTGTTTGACAAGTTCAGGAACGCATCCAACGATTGAAAGAACTTCACCCGCCAATTTGGCAGCGCCAATCTCACCAGTGCCTGATGACACCATTGTGATCTTCTTGGTTTGTGTCAGTGGAGCGGCGACTTCAGCTGCGATCTATGGAGAAACATAAACTTAATAATGACAAATAAATATAATAATTATATATTTCAATTCTACCTTTGGTAACGTCTCAAGAAGCATCTCAATCATGGCTGCTTCTTTGTATTCCTTATAAGCTTCTGCTTTTTTCTGCATTTGTTCAGCTTCAGCCTTAGCTTTAGCTTCAATTGCAAATGCTTGAGCTTCGCCACGAATTTTAATCTAAAATAATTTCATAATTGAGAGTATTATTTTAGATAATAAAATTTCTTACAGCTTCACTTTCTGCTTCAGCTTCCAAGATAACTTTCATTTTGTTGGCTTCAGCGATTTTTTCCAGACGATATTTTTCTGCTTCTGCTGGTCGTCGAATTGTTGCTTCTAATTCTCGTTCACGTCTAATTTGTTCTTGCTGTTGCACTCGAATTTCTTGTGTACGTTCAACGACCTTTACTTGCATAACTTCTTCCTTGATGCGCTGTTTTGTCTTTGCAGCTTGCAATTCGTAAGCCATTTCAGCTTCTGCTTTCTTGGTTTGAACTTCGATATCATAAGCTGCTTTTTGAAGTTCGAAGTCTCGTTTTGACTTTGCAATTTCAATGTCGTTTGCAAGTCTTGCAGCCATTCGCTGTTCTTCAGCTAAAGCTGTGTTAACTTCGGAATCAGCTCGCGCTTCAGCTTCACCAATGCGTGCATCTCGTTTGACTTCAGCTGTTCGTGCCATACCCAGGGCTTTGAGATATCCCTTCAAATTTAAATTGCATCATTATGAATTTTCTTTTAAATTTAATTTCTTACTTCATCATCGCGAACATCTTTCAATGTGTAAGACACGACAGTGATCCCCATGTTAACCAAGTCGGATGATGCAACTTGGAAGACCTGCTGGGAGAACTTCTTGCGATCTTTGTAAATTTCTTCAACGGTCATCGATCCCATAATTGCTCGTTGGTGTCCCTCCAAAGTCACCAATGCAATGTGTTGAATCTCAGATTCTGATTTTCCCAAAAATTGTTCGCATGCAGTCTGGTAAAAAATTTATAGGATTGTTGACGCCACAATAAATCGATTTTTTCTATTATAAAAACCTTACTAGAAGCATTTCTTCATTTTGACCTTGAATTTTTACTTGTGCGATTCCTGTGACTGATAATGGAACTCCCTGACTGGTATAAACAGTTTTGGATTCCACTGCGAGTGTCATTGTATTGAGGGAGATTCTTGAAATAAAAAATCAGTTAAGAAAATATTGATTTGACTTTGAAAAGTTTACTTTTGAACATCTTGACAGAATGGCCAGGCAAAAGCTCGCCCTCCGGTGACTAATAATGGCTTTTTGTATCCGAAACCTTTAAAATAAATTAAATATTGTTAAAATAGTTAATCTAGATAAAATATTAATTCACCTGAAATAACAATTGCTTCGTTTGGGCCACACGTTTGAAAGCCCCAACCCATTTTGTTACAATTTGTTTGATGATTGTCTTGTCACTTGTAAAGCTTGCGATACAATAGATTAAAATTTTTGTTTTCAGAGCTTATCAGCAATGTTCTTATCAATTTGGATTAAAAATCTGATTGTTCGAACATGAAAGTTTTCTTTCGAATTTTTAACTCTGTGAATGAGAGAGGAGAAAAAAAATTGTGTGTGAAAAGCGTGGAAAAAGCGTAGCCCGACTGACCAGTAACTTGTTACAGTTTTCTAAATTTTTATTTATAGAAGAAGTCAATATTTCTACAATGATAGAAAAGAAACGTCAGAGAAACGATATAAACCGCGCCTTTCTAATCACGATATCGATGCACGAATTTCCTGATACTTTACCGTGTTAGTTATTCAGAGCTTTTGAATTTAAATTCATTTTCCATTTGGAAACAAAACAATGAAACTGGAAGTTTTCTTAGAATATTATTTTCTTTACTTACCACTCGAAAATCTTAAAAATAGATCGGAAGAGAAAATTTCTCAATCTTTTATCTAATAAAACAAAAACTAACAGAGAAAATGTTTTGTATCGTCTTCAATTCTGAAATTCAGTTGATTAAAAGCATAGAAAAAATCGATTTTCTTTGGTTGTATGTAAATATTTTATTTAATGAGAAAATGTTGCGTTACAGAAAAATATTTTTTGTATTTCGACGCAAAAGCTTGAAATGAATAGGCTGTAGGTAGCAGGTTGTCGTCGAGAGGTTGAACCTGCTGTCATTAAACATAAACATTTTTCTTCATATTTGCTAATTTCAATACATTGTTCAGTAATTTGCTACCGTCTTTAACTAAGAGAAACACGTGTTGTGTTACCGGTAAATGCATTGCTGGTGAATGTACCGAATGAAACACAAAACGTTCTCTTTCTTTCAGCTTCAGACGGTAGAAATTGTTTTATTAATTTAATTTTAAAAATTCCAATTGTTCTAAAGTTCATTACCAATCATCTCAAAACATGTTTTGAACTGTATTAAAAATATATTTCGTTAATCGTTTTCTTTTACGAGATTTTCTCCATAAATTTCATCTTATTTTTCAGTTACATTTAAAATCTTTACTAAGTGCAATTAAATAATTTTCACATCTTTTTGTTTATATTTTAAAATTAAATTAAGTATCATCATCAAAAGTTGGCAGTTGAGATTCATGGTATTTGTTTTAATAATAAGATTTGTCTTGAAACTCGAGATGTAAAAAATCATTAAAAGATTTTCTCGTATAAAAATTTAACTTTGGTATGAGGATATCAATTTGATTAAGTAAGAAAGTTAAGCTACTTTTCTTCTGTATATAAATATCTTGACTGAAGCTCTTAATTGTATATGTAGGTAATTTACTGAGGTTTTCTGGATAATATAAAAATCCTCAAAACAAGCGAGTATAAATATAAATTTGGAATGTTTTGTGTTCAAATGTTAAATAAAAATGAGATCAAATATCCAATGAGATCAAATGTAATGTCAAAATTCATCGTATGTCATTAAGACTTGAAGTTTAATTTAATTAAATAATACCAACAGTAATTGAGATCTTTCTACATGTGAAAAACTCAAAAAGCTTTTTAAATTTCATATTCAAACATTCACAAAAGTAGGTAATCATATCAAGTGCAATTTTTGTTTACATTTTTGAAACTCACCTTACTCACTAAAAGACACAAAAAAGTTACACGAGACGAAAACAATTCTTTTTTTCTTATTTGAGTTTCGAGTTTACAATGATTTTTGTCTTTTTGTTCTTTCTTAACATTTCTTTTATCATGTTTTTAATGTTACGCTATGAAATACTTAACCAGCATGCACAGACTAAAATTAGAAGAAAAAAAGAAATAAAAATATTGAAAATAATTAATTAAATTCAATGTAAGCTTCATTTTCAAACTCGTGTGATGATTTCAGTGACTAATCAAATTTAAAATTCTTTATGTAGGGTAAAGTGACATAAAGTGGTTACAAAAAAAAAAGAGGACCTATTGTGGTAACACCTAATTTCGAATGCGATTTTCTTCGCTATTTTACATTTTTATGGCTCAAAACTTTGTACAGAAGTAGAGTAGATAGTTCAAAGCACTTCTGTAAAAAGTTTTGAGCCATAAAAATGTAAAATAGCAAAGAAAATCGCATTCGAAATTAGGTGTTACCACAATAGGTCCTCTTTTTTTTTTGTAACCACTTTATGTCACTTTACCCTACTTTATGTACAAACACAGTAAAAATAAAACAAAAATTACAGTGAATTCTCAAATAAATAAGAGATTTATAGAATGTTCACTGTAGTTAATATAAATACTTGAAACAAAAGAATTTAACACTGCACTATTAATAACGAAACAGAAACCTTGACAAAATAATCTCATTACGAAAGTTTTCAATTATTGTTCACATCACAAGATGAATGAGTTGAAGATTTAAACAAGCTTAACAGTAGATGACGCTTAAATATATTTATGATTTTGATTTACCCTCGAGATGTCAATGTTTGTCATTTGTTTGACAAGTTCTGGAATTCGGCCGACGATTGAAAGAACTTCACCCGTCAGTTTAGCAGCGCCAATCTCACCAGTGCCTGATGACACCATTGTGATCTTCTTGGCTTGAGACAATGGAGCGGCAACTTCAGCTGCGACCTAACGAAAATAAACAATTATTTATCTTCAAAAAAAGTTAATTAATTCATCAATTCTACCTTTGGTAATGTGTCAAGAAGCATCTCAACCATGGCTGCTTCACGATATTCCTTGTAAGCTTCTGCTTTCTTTGCCATTTGTTCAGCTTCAGCTTTAGCTTTAGCGTGAATGGCAAATGATTCGGCTTCACCACGAATTTTAATCTAAAATTTTATTTTAAATGTTTTTTGGTGTTCATTAAAGTATGAAAATTTCTTACAGCTTCACTTTCTGCTTCAGCTTCTAAGATAACTCTCATTTTGTTGGCTTCTGATATTTTCTCTAGACGGAATTTTTCTGCTTCTGCTGGTCGTCGAATTGTTGCTTCTAATTCTCGTTCACGTCTAATTTGTTCTTGCTGTTGCACTTGAATTTCTTGCGTACGTTCAACGACTTTGATTTGCATTTGTTCTTCCTTGATGCGCTGCTTTGTCTTTGCAGCTTGCAATTCGTAGGCCATTTCAGCTTCTGCTTTCTTGGTTTGAACTTCGACATCATAAGCAGCTTTCTTAAGTTCGAAATCTCGTTGGGCTTTTGAGATTTCAATGTCATTCAAGAAACGAGATGCCATTCGCTGTTCTTCAGCGATCGCTTCCTTTATTTGTGCATCACAACGTGCTTCAGCTTCACCAATGCGCGCATCACGTTTGACTTCAGCTGTTCGTGCCATACCCAAAGATTTCAAGTAACCCTTCAAAATTCAAAAACAAAGAAGACATAAAACGTCAGCTTAATCAATCGATAGATGATTGGAATGAACATCTAAGTGACTACAAAACTTTATAATCATTTGTGTGTAAAATTTGTGTCTGTTCGTGTTGAAATTTGTTTTACAGAAATTATAGAAATGTGCTTTAGAGTGTCATTTCAAACATTGATATCAGTGGTATTTACAATGAAATACTAAAAGAAATAAAGCAATAATGAAAGTTTAAGTTTGTTTGATGGAAAACCTTTAGGCGCCTATCAAAGAACCACAAGACAACTTTCATGTGATTCAAAGCATTTCAGATAGTCAGATAATAAAAAAACAAAGAAGGTTGATGATAATTAATACCAAACAAAAAGAAATAAAAGATCTGATATCACAGAAATATATAAAAACATACCTTGGCACCCTGATAAAAACCCGGGTGGCAGTTTTTTTGATTTTTACGAAAAAATTATTAGCAGTAAAATAAAGGTTTTTGAATTGGAAAGATGTTAAATGAAAAAAGATTTACAAATATGGTTTTCACTCAATCTGTCGTCACATCAGTTTCAATCATCATAAATCAGTCGTAGGTGGCAAATTTTGATTGACGGCTGATTTATCATGAGATGACGATATGAATCAAAATCGATTTTTATCTCAACGAAACTGTATTTTTATGAAGAGAATGTTGAGGAAATATTTTTGTTGAGTTTCATTACTTACCTCTTCATCACGAATGTCTTTCAATGTGTATGACACAACAGTAATGCCCATGTTGACAAGATCCGATGAAGCCACTTCGAAGACTTGCTTGGAGAACTTCTTGCGATCTTTGTAAATTTCTTCAACGGTCATCGATCCCATAATTGCTCGTTGGTGTCCTTCCAATGTTACCAAGGCAATGTGTTGAATCTCAGACTCTGATTTGCCCAAAAATTGTTCGCAAGCAGTCTGAAAATTATTCAAATTTGTTTATTTCATCTTAAGCATTAAAATTTGCGACTTACCAACAGCATGTCTTCGTTTTGGCCCTGGATCTTTACTTGGGCAATACCTGTGACAGAAATGGGAACACCTTGGCTAGTGTAAACTGTTGGAGACTCTACTTGAAGTGTCATGGTGTTTAATGAAATTCTAAAAGTAAAACATAAATTAATTTTTAATTTTTATATCAATAGAATTTTTCCTACCTTTGAACACGTTGAATTGATGGCCACACAAAAGCACGTCCACCAGGGACAAGCAAAGGCTTCATATAGCAACATCCTATGGAAAATTTAAATTTTTATTATTATTGTAAAATTATTAATTTTCGGTACAAACATTTGAGAGGAAAAAAAATCGATTTTTGGATATTTATAGGAAATAATATTATTCCTGAAAAGTTATGCCTGAAATATGTTCAAAATGACATCTTCATTATAAACACTCCATCATTGATAAATGCCGTAAATTATGTGACAAGTTTCATTGAAAATTTCAGAAAATTGCTTGAGAGATTATCGATTTTTTTTCGCGACTCAATGGCGCTTAAAAATGATTTCAACTTACCTGAAACAACAAGTGCTTCATTCGGACCGCAAGTAACAAATCCCCAAGTCATGATGGGTTAGTTTTACTTTCCTGCTTTTCCTACTCTTTACCTTCAATTAATATCGTGAAAATAAATTAATTTTCGCGAAATGTATTTTCTCAGATTTCAGTTTACTAACACTAACTCAGGTGAGTAAAATGAGAAAGTGTGAGAAAATTTCAGTCGAAGTTTGGGTGGTCTTGTAATTTTAGGTAGTTTTGAGTAAATTTCCTTCATTTGTTTTTGTTTACATTCCGCGTGTGCCGGTAAATTATTCTTCATCACGTTTTCAACAGATTGAAACAAATAAATAAATAAAAACAATATGAATAAGCCGATTACAACGCTAGTTAGGCCAACATTTGAGATTGATTTAAGTGAGAAAATCATCAGTTTTGATTCTTCTTCATCAAATATTCACGGAGCAAACATAAGTAAGATTTAATTTTTTTTTTAATTTTCAATGTTTGATAAATATTCTTAATTTCAGTTTTGGTAGCTCTTTATCGAAAAGTGCTAGTACTTGCATTGGATAATAGTGGCGAAGATGATTACAGCATCGACTACAAAAAGATTCAAGAAATTCCATTATCGGAAGTTCGAATCCTGAAACTCTGCTCATCGATTATAGTTAAAGATATAATTTTTGCTGCAGCTATCAACTACGAGATTCAAATCTTTTCAACAAATGAAGAGAATGCAACTTGCTTAAAATCAATTGAAGCTCATGATGGTTACATAAACTCAATCGACTTCACAGAGGATTTTCTTGCTACTGGAAGCGATGATCACACTTGTAAAGTTTTCTCCGTTCAAGAAAATTATGATCAGCATTGTGTTCTGAATTTCTCGGCTGCTGTTACGAGTGTAAAATTCAATCCTGAAGAACTCAACAAGTTGATCATTGGCGTGAAGAATGGAAATGTTTTCATTTTTTGTTTGAAACTTCGTCAATCGCTTTACAGTTTCGAAACTCATGCGCCACTCATGTGTCTTGATTGGTCGATTAAAAACCCTTGTTTCGTTGCTGTTTTAGCTGTTGATCAGATTTTTTATTATGACGTTACTAAACCTGAGTAAGTTTATTGAAATTATCAGCGAAGCGTTTTGTTGACATTGTTTTGTTTCTAGTGTTCCAATCTACAGTAAAAGATTGACTGACATTGGAAAAGTCTTCAAATTGCACCCTCAAAATCCATTAGTTTCAGCAATTCTTTGTAATCGAGCGGGAACTGAACTAAAAGTTGTTCACCAAAAGAGTACAATTCCAATATTTTCATCAAAGATTTGCGCTTATACTGGCAACGTTGCTTGGAATGGATCTTATCTCATCACTGGATCTGACAGAAAAATGTGTTTCTATAAAATTCCCATTTCATAATTAAATCTTCGTTGATGCTGAAAAATAAATTTAGAGAAACAAAACAAGTTTTTTATATTTTTTCTTTCTTTCTTTATTCACTCTTTAAATCCAATTTTTCAACCAAATAAAATTTGCGTGTTTAGAACGAAACTAAAAAGAACTAAAAAAAAAGAAACTTAACACTTTCAACGGTTTTATTTTTCTATGTGGAATTTTAAGACTTGCAGATGACAAGAAAAGTCGCTCTCGTTCACCATTTTCTCTTCATATATTTTTCTTTTATCACTCTAATAAAACTTATGATATTGTTTTGTTTGTGCTATGTTAGGATGCGTTGGATAAAGTCAAGTGGAGTTAGCAAAAAACTTACCTCACAATCGTCATGCCAACTGATGTTGTTAACAAGAAATTTTGTCATATGTGCATCATTTTGCAATTTACATCATTGCATGTACCTTCCAGATCATAAGGGCACACGATCTTATTCACCGATGGATCTCTAAATTTTGTACAAATGAAAAGTTTCATTTAATATAAAATGAATTAAGTAATATCATTTTCTTTGGTTGTTAGTCTAAAGTTCTAAATAATAAATTATTAAGTAATTCGCATTCTTAGAAGCATCATTCACTTCTTTGTTTCGTACTTATTCTTTGACAGTCGCAGAAAATCCAACGGCGATTCATATTTAAGCTTCTTCTTGTAGAAATTTCCATCAACATTTCGTTTCTCTCCATCCATAGAATGTTCTTCATCAAGAAGTTTTTTGGGACGTTTTCCGATTTCTGGATATTCCACTGGCACTGTGAGTTCAGAATTTAAGCTTATTGGAGTATCTTCTATTGTTTCGATGAGTTTGGAAACTTCTGACACTTCTTTATCACCATCTTCATCACCTTTTTTAATATTAGGAATATCTTTGGTATCAAGGGAAGTATTAGCTGTGACTGGAATTGAAGAGCATGGCATGTCTTTGGCACTTATTATGTTATTATTAACTTTATCATCTTCTTCTTTAACTTTCGAACCCGCAAGAGAATTTTTTTGCTTCTCATTAACAAAACTCTTTACACGATCTGTTATTATTTTCATGTTGCTTTTCACATTTTCATCGTTTGATATTCTAATTATGTCTTCCGTTTTCCCAGCGATTTTCATAAAATTTTCTTCTACATCCATCGATTGATCTTCAGGCAAGCTGGAAAAGGTAAGAAATTTTGTTGTGATGACAAATAAATGGAGAAACGTAAGAACCATGAAGAAGAATTCACTTTTCAACCTCAATCAAATAAAAAGAACTTTCAAAATTTGTGAAAATTTAATTCATGAGAAAGTTAAATTTCCACCATTTTTGACATTTCTTAGAGAAATGATATTCACCTGTAGCCATCACCACGGATAATTACGCCAACCTGTTGACAAATCTTACCGAAATTCTTCTGATGCGTTCGAAGCTTAAACATCTCACGTTGCGATTGCACAATTTTGTGAATGTTAACTGTGACTCGTTGATTGACTATGTTTAGATTTGATTTGTACTTTTTCAGAAGGCGTTCAAGATTTGCAACGTGAGTTGACAACTTCTCTTGTTTCTTCATGTCGTCTTCATTTTCTTGAAGTAATTTGATGCTTTCCTGAGTTGATGTCATCAGTTTATCGCTAAGTAAAAGAATTTCAAGAATAATGAAAGAAATTTTCTTATAATTTGAGATCATTTTAGACATTAACGAACCTGTGACGTTTATAAGTAGTTTCAGTCTTATCAATGAATCTTTGTTTGGCATCTGCATCAAGATGTGGAATTTTTCTCAATGAATCTTCAATCTTGTTTGGTGCAACTTTCGTTTGAGTCTTCGTTTCAAATGTTTGTGGAGGTTTATCAATCGATGTCGAAGATTTTCCAACTTTTTCCACGTTTCCAGAATTCGTTCTTTTTATCTGACGAACTTTAAGTCGTTTTTGTTTTGATTCTTCGAGAATTTTCATTTTTTGTATCAACTGTTCGTATTCAATTTGTGATGACAATGGCAAATGTTTTACTGACGAAGCGCTTTTTGATAATGTTGAAATAATTTGCGAGTTTTCAGGTGCTTTTATTGGAGTTTTTGCAGGTTTTTGAGTCGATTTTGTTTCCTGTTCTAACCTCACGGTTTTAAGGAAGTTGTCGAGATTAATTTCAAACCCTTTTGGGGGTTGTGACTTTTCCTTACCTTCACTCGACACGGGAACTTCTAAAATCTTTCTATTTGGTCTTTTTACAGGAACTTTACTGGGACTTCCATCATCATCTGTATCACTTTCAGCATTCACTGATATTATGAGTTTCGATACTGGTTTATTAACGGCTTCAAGTGAAGTCACTAATCGACTTCGTTTTGCCCCAACTGCAATGAGTGGAATGCTTTTTGTGTCTGTGATTGTTGAGAATGTTTGATCAGTTTCAATTGAAGGACTTTTTGAATCCGCATGAGAAATTTCTGCTTTTTCTTTCACCACGAGGTCATTTGTGATTGTTCGAACTAAAAAGTTTTTATGTGGAAACTTCTCCAGTGATATCTCTTTTGACAGATAACATTGTTCGACATCATTTTGTATTTCATTTGACGTCATTTCTGAATCTCCATGGTGAGTTTTGACTTCATTCGAAACTGAATTTGACTCTTTCACTTTATTAATTCTTTGTTTCTCTTCAAGTAACATTGCAATTGTTTTAGTTCCCGACTTTATTGTAATTGAAGAAGATTCCTTCTTCTTTTGTTTCAACCTTTGCACAGCCATTTTAAGGTTTTCTATTGTCATTGACTCAATTTCATGATCATCTTTGGAGGAATTTGTTTGGTCCCGATTTTCATTTTCTAAAACTTTCTTTTTCTGAATTGAAGTTAAAAGCAAAGATCTTAATGCTATCTCTTCGTTATTATCTTCATCTGATGGTGGCTCATTACGAGCATATTCCGAAGGTGATGGTGCAATATCCATATCGCTTGTTTCTCTCTCTTCATTCATTATTGGGCTATTGGAAATTTCCATATCTATTTGTTGGTTTTCTGTGTCGACAACTTCATTGAAAGGTGACCCTAAAGGACTGAATTCCATCTCTGTTGGATCGTCTGCTTCAATTGGAATTGGAATGACATCCTCAGAAGGTGAGTACGGCCTTTCATTCTCCAGAGTCCTCTTCTTCTTTTTCTCCTTAAAAATGTGTCGTTTCTTAAGCATTGCTGATTTAAGAGCCATGATTCTTAATTGTACTTCTTCTACCGATGAGTCTTTGATTGCCATTGATGGCGATGGTGGTTGACTTACTTCTTCATTAACATCATCAAAAATATCTCTAACTTCAGGTTTCGACTTTAATGCATTCAGTCGAAGTTTAAGTAATTCTTCATCACTACTTTCATCTGAGTCAGGATCAATTTCAATGACACTTTCATTGTCAACCTCAATCGTTACACTTTTCTCATAGTCGCCATTTGTTTTGATATTTTTTGTTTTAACATTACGTTTTGATTGAGTTGTTTTGCGCTTAGGTAAAGAATAATTTGAAAATATAGACGAGGCGCGATAAGCTCTGCTTCGTGAATCCAGAAATGTTCCTGATTTTATTCTTTTCTTTTTCTTAGTCGAAGGTCGTTTTGCTCTATGACGAAAACGATTTTCTTTTCCATAGTCAGCTTTGTATATCAAAGTAGAAGAAATTTTTACACATTTAAGAAGAAATTTAAAGACTATTTGATAAATTTATGATACGTCCACTCACCGAATTGTCCAGCAAAACTGTTTTCAAGCTCTAATTCTAATTTCCTATTGCTCAACTTTTTTGAAAGATTATCGAAATAATTATCATCTGAGGAAAATTCTGAAAGGTCCTCGACAATCTCGCCATCTGATACATTTGGTGTAGTTATGTTTCTAGCCATCTAAAGTACATTAAAGAAGCTTAATAAATTTTAAAAATTAGATATTGTAAATATTTTATGAAGTTGTTCTTTTTATGATACTATAGTCTTTTCTGAAAAATGGCGCATGTTCAATATTTCATTCTTTTTATACTCAGCTCACGTATTTTACGCACATTGTTGACGTAGCTTTGACCCCGCATCAAACGTTTAAACGCGACACATTCAGTCACCTCAGATATAAACATTAAAAAATTTATTTGCAAAATAAGAATACAATCATTATAAGCATTTCAACAATAAAACAGAAGAATCCATAATGGGTAAGATCAACATAATTTAAAATTTTCAACATGAAATTAAGCTTTTATTTCATTGAATTGAATTAAGCGGCTTTGAAACCAAAATCTGAATTAACTCCTGAAGAACTTCAAAAGTTGGAAGAGGAAGAATTCAACACAGGACCCCTTTCAGTTCTTACTCAATCAGTGAAAAATAACACTCAAGTTCTTATTAATTGTCGGAACAATAAGAAATTGCTTGGTCGTGTAAAAGCTTTTGATCGTCATTGCAACATGGTGTTAGAGAATGTGAAGGAAATGTGGACGGAAGTTCCTCGCACTGGAAAAGGGAAGAAAAAGGTAAAACCTGTCAACAAAGATCGATTCATCAGTAAAATGTTCTTAAGAGGAGACTCTGTCGTCTTGGTTTTAAGAAATCCAGCAGCTGCCGGACCAACCAATTAAACGTAAACATTTTTTTAATTAAATTTTTATTATAAGAATCCCATCTTCAATTTCTCAAATTTTCCAAAATACAAATGTAATAATAAAGAAATGAATGAATTTCAAATGTTCAGCATATCATTCCTTCACTGGAGTTTTCTAATCCTTTTCAGCAATTTCATTCAAATGTTTTTCAATATCCTCCTTAGGCAATTTACGGAATTCAGGATTTTCACGAGACACCACACCGATTTCAATTTCAGTTGATTTAAAGTCGAGAGCAAGAACAGTTGACAAACATGAGATTGCCATTTGAATAGCTTCATCTTCATTGTAGTCCATCTTCTTCTTGAGCTTCTTCTCCAAATAACTGTTTGCTTCAGTTTGCTTTACACCAACTGAAATAGCTCGAAAACCACAATAATAACCGGCTGGATCTGTCTTGTAAACACATGGACCGAGTTCATCATCGAATCCAATGAGAATCATTGAACAACCTAAAGGACGCATTTCAGCATTTTGAGTGTAAACCTGAGCAATGTCAGCAACACGACGACAAACAACATCGACTGGCATTTCATATCCGTACTTATACATCCAGTTAGCTGCTTCATATTGAGCACGCTGTACTTGTGACTTGCTATCAGCAATTTTGCCTGTCATCACACATCCAATTCGTTTTGTGATCCGGAATAAATGACTTACAGTATCAGGATCGATTAACTTATCTGGAACTTTCTTTTGCGTAGCTACAACTGCTACATCTTTTCCCTTTAAAGCCACTGATGTATTTCCTTCTTGATTAATTGCTTTAAAAGCATATTCTATGAAAATATAGAAAAACAAATTTTGAAACAAATTTCATTCCTTCTGAATTTATGTCGACTATTTACCAACTTGATATAGTCTTCCTTCAGGTGAAAAGATCGTAATATGACGATCGAAACCAGCACTGCTGCCTCTTGACATTTTAAATTAGAACAAAGATTGAATTAATATAATAACTTTCGATTAATCGTTTATTCTTTTTTCCAATTGACGAACTTAGCGAGATGATTTGCCGAAATATATACCGAGGAGACCTTTTTACAATGTTAACAATAAGAAAGTAAACCTTCACTTTCCTAACTTTGTCTGTTTGTCCAAAACTTACTCAGTCGTGGACAGACATTAACTAAAGCGCTTTTTTGTGCATTTTTTAATAATTTCTACTTGTTTTACTTCAAAAATGGTAATGGATGCTTCTGCAGCTGCAAATCAACTCGTTCTTAGACGAAATAGGCCCGGAACATCGGCAAAAGTAAGTTCAAAGTACATTTTGCAGTGTAATCCAAACCCAAGTGATATCAGAAATGGTTAAATAGATTATCTTAGTTGAAAAACATGAAAATGTAAATTTTCTGGGGCTTGGCGAAGTCGAGTGAAAATTTTCTTTATTTGCTATTTTCTAATTTTTATTATCATTACAGGAATTTTGTGGATGGCAAGATGAACCTTTTGAGGAAATGGACAGCACCTTGGTGGTGCAGCAATATATACAGCAACTTATTCGGAAAAATCCTTCAAATGTCGAATTGATATTAAATATGCCTGATGGACAAGACGAAGGTGTCTGGAAATATGAACATCTAAGGTGAGGAGGAATTTAATTTCTCAACACAATTTAAGTTAAATTCCTCTAATACATTTTTTTATAGACAATTCTGTATGGAATTGAATGGTCTTGCGGTGAGATTACAAACTCAATGTTTTCCATCAACTTGTACACAAATGACAGCAACCGAGCAGTGGATATTTTTATGCGCTGCACATAAAACACCAAAAGAATGTCCAGCTATTGATTATACGCGGCATACACTTGATGGAGCTGCTTGTTTATTGAATAGTAACAAATATTTTCCGTCTCGGTGAGTTAACTAAATTCTGAAAATGTTTTGATTATTTTAATAAATTTTCTTTTCCCCTCTTAGTGTATCAATAAAAGATTCGTCGGTACTAAAGCTTGGATCTGTGTGTCGACGTGTTTATCGTATCTTCTCACATGCATATTTTCATCATCGTCGAATATTCAACGAGTTTGAGGAGGAAACATTTCTATGCTTACGTTTTACGCATTTTGTCACAAAATATGAATTAATGTCAAAGGATAATCTCATTGTTCCGATTAGTGACAATGCTTTGGGTGATATTCCGGGAGAAAGTGAAGCGTAAAGATTCGTTTCTCCCTCCAAATTTTTAATCAAATGTTTATTAAAAGAAACATCGCGATTCTCAACCGATACCTTAGCTGTTTTGTAATGAAGTTGAACTATCAACAAGTTTTGAGTTGGGAACCATGTTAAAAGAGAAATCCTCATTTTCCAGCCTTTAATTTTTAGACAAGCTAACTATAACTCATCAAATAATTGAAGTCCAACAAATATTGTAATCATTGTAGTCATAGATCATTTTTTTAGTTTCGCTTTTCTTCTTTTATTTTTTGTAAGAAAATTATATTTCATTTGAATAAAAATGAAAAGAATCAAATCTTTCATAATTTAAGTATGAAAAATATCACATGACGAGAAATAAAACTTGAAAACTATCTAGCGAAGTAAAGCAGCAGATGAGGATAAAAGATATTTAAAAATTAAACGTAAATATTTAATCAATGATGAGAAGTAAAGTATCGATTTGAATATTAAAATAACATGAACCACAATCAAAATGTTCAGCATTAATAGAAAAATTAGATAATTTTCTCGTGAGAGAAAGAAATAAGAAAATGTAGAGCACTTTTCCAGCAATGCAACAAGACCTTTGTGTGTTCACAGAACTAATAAAACAAAACCAATACAAAATATTCATCTCCAATCTCGAACCTAACAAAATTTCATTTGATTTCAATCTAAATTTATTTTCTTTTCTGTAAATATTTTATTCCAAAAAAAGTTTGGGACGAAATGAAAACAATTAAAAATTTCAACTCAACAATAAATTAAATTCTTTATTTATGAAAGAATTTGATTTGTTTTATTTTCATATCATCAGCTTTGAATGTCATTGGATTTGGACGAAGATGGACCTGGTTGTGGCGCTGCTTCATGTTGCCCTTTATTCTTATTTCCTGAATTTCTTGCATTCGTCGAAGAACTTTTCTTTTGGTCATTGCAATTTTTCTGTTTGTTGTGATTGTTGTTTCTTTTGTTACCATTCTGTTTATTCTTATAAATGTAGTCTTCGTCCTTCTTCTGATGTTTCGCTTGTGGTTCCGGCCAAAATTTTGATGGTGTCTTTGACTTCTGATAACTGGGAGTTTTGACATCGATGTCATCAAGAGAAAGAAGAATGTGAATGGCAGGCACTTGACGGGTAACAATGATGGGATCAAGACCTTTCAATATTGGATCCCAATATTCATCGCTTCTGTTAACACAAAGTAAAAGAAGAAATTCACAAATGTAGAAAGTGATGAAAAACTTTTCATGTTGATGCTTACTTTTGATACGCTAATTGCGTGACTTGATGTACATCATAATTTCTCTTCATAATTTCAGCACACGATATTGTTTTAGGCACGCCACCACCACTGCCACTCCAAACAACTGATCTATATTCGCCTGAATTGAAAGCTTTTTCCGCATATTCAACAACATTTGCTACTTTTGTTCCGCCCTTAACATGCATCCATAAGAAACTTTCTGGCAGAATATCGATTGGAATTCGATCTTTTGTTAGTTCTTCTTCCACGTTCTTCCCTTTTTTATAGTTTTCCATTTTCTGTAAAATGTAACAAAATAAAGTGAATATTGATGCAATCATGATTGTGAATATTTAATCTAAATTGTCTATCATATCAAAGTAGCACAAGTTCTCTGTCGATTTTTGAAATCGTTCTACGTTAGAAAAGAAAATCGATAATCCATTCATGAATTTAAGTTTTAGCAACACGAGAATATAAAAAGTGATGTCAATGTCAAGCTTAACATTTTCAGTTTCAAAAGCATTCAATATCAACACAACAAAACGTGACGAAATTTTCTTAATCACCCTAGTAAATATTTCTGACAAGACAATTTAATATGATGATGAAGAATTTCTTCTATCTCCTTAACGCTATCATCCTACGAATGGAATTTCCCTCAACAATTTTCACACTTCTTGGCCTGAATTCCGTACTTGACGTTTCGAGACGAAAAGAAAGAAAAAATCTTCAACCAACATTCGATGCCGCAATTTATTTCATTTCTTTTATTCACATTTTGAAGCGACACGCTTTTATCGACATTGATGCTGTTAGCAGATTTTAATTGGAAGTATTGAGAAAATTGAATAAAACAAGTAATCAACTATCAGCGTTCAAGGGAAATCCAATTTTGTCATCATTTTCAAACCATGAGAAAATATTTCAAAAGGGTACAACTTCTTAATAAATTGATAATCATAAACATTTCCACCTACAACTTTGTCATGTTAAATACTCGGAGTTATTTGAAAATACTCATGTCATATTATCACGACTTTTAAATTCATACAGCAAATATCTTCAAAATTTCATTCAAAGGAAGCCTTCAAGTCAATGAATTTCATTGATAAAATTTCCTTTCTCCACATCCCACCCACGCCCAACCTTACATTTCTATTAAAAAATTTATTCCACAGGTTAACGATTTCTTTCTCCTTTTTTAATTCACAATATGTCATTGATGCTTGTGACTCTGAACTTTGATCTAAACAATCATTTAAAGAAGCAAGCATAGAAGTTTAGTTCTCCATCTATGACGACAACTTAATCAAATTTTCTTCCTTTTGATAGACACGCGCGAAGATGCTTTGCCCTTCAATTTATTTAGATATCAATGTTGTTCATATTACTAAGAAGGAATATCAGGATGAAGTCAGAACAATGATGTAGATATTGGATCAATAATAAAAAGAATGTTGTGGTAGTGTTAGACGAGAAGAATAAAATGGAGAAAAGGAAAATTCGCACCAGAACCGAGCAGAAATAACATGAAAAAGAAGAAAATTTTTATCCTCCAATAAAATTATCCTCGACGAAGCGATTTGGTGCCAGTTCGAGTTGGATCTTTGGTGAAGATAGAAGTTAAAAAAGGAGAATAAAATATAGCAGAAAGTTGAACTTGCAGAATTTTCAATTTTAATTCTAGTTAAAAATTAAAGTGAGTTGAAAGTGAAATTGAAGAAATTTAATTAAAAAGCAATTAAAGCGACCATAATTGTATTATGGTCGGAAATATAATTTTTTCTGTTTAAATGAATTAAGTTTTATTAAGTGGCAGTTGATGAGATTGCAGATAAAATTAAAATTAAAATTAAATCATGAAAATCAAGTTTGTGCTTTTCCACCTATCGAAGTTATTTATTCACAAACACAATGAAACTTTGTAACTCAACAAGTTGATACATTCAACGATGAGAGAAATGAAAAGTATAAAGACTATGATGAATAAAAATATATCAAGAAGAGAAAGTTGGAAGAAAAAAGAAATTTATATTCTGCAGGAAATTCTTTCATGTTCTCGTTTATATCTCAATTGAATTAATTTTCTCCAATGAATATCAATGAATGTGCGATGAAAATCAATTACCGCATTTTCTTTTTTCTTTTCTTTTCAAATTGTGAGATGTTTTCATGAAGTAATGATGTGTCAAGCCCGGCAAAGTTCTCAATCAATTTTCTATTTCACATTCCAAAGTTATTTAATGTCGATGAATAATCATCGACATTTTTATTTATTTTTTTCCACCCACAAATGAATTCTCACAATAATTATTTTTCTGCTCTTTTCCCGATAAATTTATTCAACAAAGAAACTACGTCATGGATAGCAAAGAATTCAGAAAACGCGGCACTGAAATGGTCGAATATATTTGTCAATATTTAGAGACTTTGGAGGATCGCCGAGTTACTCCATCAGTTGAACCCGGATATTTACGATCTTTGATTCCTGGAGAAGCTCCAATGAATGCTGAGCCATGGGAGAAAATTATGGAAGACGTCGAAACGAAAATAATGCCTGGAGTTACTCATTGGCAACATCCAAGATTTCACGCATATTTTCCATCCGGAAATTCATTCCCTTCGATCTTAGGCGACATGCTTGGTGACGCAATTGGATGCATTGGATTTTCATGGGTGATTATTAATCAATTGAAGAAACTAATGAGACATTTCTTAAAATAAATCTTAATCTTGATTTAGGCTGCAAGTCCTGCATGCACAGAATTGGAAACGATTGTTTTGGATTGGTTAGGTGAGTCATCGCTATAGCGTAGTAGGAAAAGATGTTTCTCACTTTGATTGTTTATACATTCCTGACATTCATTAGCAGTTAAAGACTTTTTACGTTTAAGCAAATGTTTTACGATATTTTCTTTCATCGAATTTCAATTGTTAAGAACATCAAAAGTATTGAACTTCTATTTTTAAATTCAATCTTCCCTCAATTAATTGAGTTTAAAAATAGATGAATGAAAGGTCGACATGGAAACTCTTTTCACGTTTTTTTTAATTTGAAATTTCGATGAGTTGTTTATGTGAAGTTGCGTTGGATTGTAGAGTGCCAGATGATATCTCCATTCAAAGCATTTTTCATCTATTTTTAAATATTTTTAATCTTACGATGTTTTTCGTTGTTTCCGGGACAATAAAATAAATTGAAAATGTTTAAATGTTCATAAAAGGTAAAGCGATTGGACTCCCTGACGATTTTCTGGCATTGAAAGAAGGAAGCAAAGGCGGTGGAGTTATTCAGGTCATTTAAATGATTTTAAATTGGTTAATAAGATTTTTGAATGATTTTTCAATCAACAGACATCAGCATCTGAATGTATTCTTGTGACGATGCTTGCAGCAAGAGCACAAGCCATCAAAACATTGAAATTACGACATCCATTTGTAGAAGAAGGACATTTGTTGTCGAAGTTGATGGCTTACTGTTCAAAGGAAGCCCACAGTTGTGTTGAAAAAGCAGCAATGATAAGTTTCGTTAAGTTACGTATTCTCGAACCTGATTCCAATTGTAGTTTGCGAGGTGAAACGTTGATGAAAGTAAGTAAATATCTAAAAATTGTTTTCTTACAAATTGTTTACTTTCATTAAAAACGCGCTTAGTTATGATGTACGTGGGTGGAAAATTGAAACTTCCAATTGTTATGATCATTACAATTGCAAACAAATCTTTTCCACTAAATTAACGATTAGTTCATTAATGAAGAAATTTTCTTTTTCTTTATTATTATTACGAAAGGCAATGGAAGAAGACGAATTACAAGGTTTAATTCCTTTCTTTGTTTCAACAACTTTGGGAACAACAGGCTCATGTTCCTTTGATGCTTTAGACGAGATTGGACGTTCACTCCAGAAATTCCCAAACGTTTGGCTTCATGTCGATGCTGCGTATGCTGGAAATGCTTTCATTTGCCCAGAATTAAAGCCATTGTTAAAGGTAATTCAATTTGCTTTCAAAATGGCGTTAAAGATTTTCTCCAATGACGTCATGAAAATTTTCCAGGGCATTGAATACGCAGACTCGTTCAACACAAATCCAAACAAATGGCTTTTAACAAGCTTTGACTGTTCAACATTGTGGGTACGTGATAGAATTCGTTTGACTTCAGCTCTCGTTGTCGACCCTTTGTATTTGAAGCACGGCTATTCTGACGCAGCAATCGATTATCGTCATTGGGGCGTGCCATTGTCGCGACGCTTTCGATCGCTCAAATTATGGTTTGTTCTTCGAAATTATGGCATTTCAGGATTGCAAGAATACATTCGACATCACATTCGGCTTGCAAAAAAGTTTGAAAAATTGGTGTTGAAAGATAAACGTTTTGAAGTGTGCAATGATGTTAAGTTGGGTTTGGTTTGTTTTCGTTTGAGAGGTTCTGATAAGTTAAATGAAAAGCTTTTGAGCATTATTAATGCTTCGGGAAAGCTTCACATGGTCCCAGCTTCTGTAAACGAACGTTATACGATTAGATTCTGCGCCGTTGCACAAAACGCAACTGATGAAGATATTGAATATGCTTGGGATGCAATCACAGACTTTGCTGCTGAATTATTGGAGAAGGAACAAGACGATGACTTTGTGGAGATTACAGAAGATCCACGCAAGAAGCACACTCTTGCTCAAAAACGATCATTCTTTGTTAGGATGGTCAGCGATCCAAAGATTTACAATCCGGCTATTAATAAAGCCGGAACGCCACGACTCTCAATGGAAGTCACTTCACCAACTGGCGATGGAACAACAGTCACAGTCCAATCTCCACCACAGTAAGAATTTCTTATTGAAGAGTACTTGACAAATCAATAAAAACTTTTAACATTTCTTAGTGAGTCAACATGGATTTCATGGCCTTTGGCATTTTTGTTCAACAGTACCGACGATTCGAAGAATGACGTCACTTTACGTTTTCGTCACTTGGATGTTAAAATGGGATCATCTCGAAGAAATTCAGCAACAGGAGGGGGAAGTTCGCCATCACCAGAAAGTGAGAATGGAATGATGATAACTAAATCACCGAGACGATCTCCACAATTGACACGAAAACGTGGAACTTCACCAAATATTCGATCGAATGGAAATCCTTAAATTTTTTCATTCTATTTATGACTCAAATGTTAAATGTTCAAGTTTTTTGCTTCCTTCTAGTTTAGTCAAATGCATAAAATATCTGATCAATAATAATTAGCTGACTTTCGCTGTAGAGGCAACAGTTCAATAAAATATCCTACAAATATCAAAGCTTTGAGTCATGATCATTTCTCTTTCATCACCTTCTTTAGTTTTTAAAGTTTTGTTGTAATTATCTTAAAAACAATCATCTCAAAGAACTTCTTTTTATTCTACATTCGAAACTTGAGAAGACTGAACGGCATCGCATGAATGTTTTCTTTGAATGAAATGATCGCAAATTGTATAATGTGTGAAAATGAATGAAAAAAAATATTACGAAGTTCTTTTAAGTTTAAGTATCTTGAAGTTTACAAAATTTATATTGAATTTCATAAAATTATTTTATGACTTTGTGAAGATATAATCAGTTTTGAATGACGGCCGACATAATCAAAATTTTTTGTTTTACTTGAACTTGTGAGTTGTGTTTTGTTGTTAGAAGCATGTTGAGAAAGAATCGTGCTGCTTAAAACCAAAAGAATCGGAAGAACCAATGATGACGAAGCAGTTGAAGGCAATTGTAACGAGTTGGGATTGTTACTCGTTTCATTTATTGGAATTTTAATGAAAATTACCCAAAAAATGATGAATAGATTGCGATTAAGCTTGGATTATTTGTGTGTCCGGTTTTATGCTTACGCGTACATATCACAATGTTTATTCAAGTAAATTACATTTTCCACCCCACTACAGCGTAATTTTCATCTTCATGACGTTCATTTTAGATCATCAACCAATCTTAAGTAAATGATGACATCATGAAAATAAGTTTTTCTTCAATTGAAAAGAAATATTTTTCTTAAAGTTCTCGGAATAATCGAAGCACATTCGTTTTCGTTTGAAATGATTGGGGAAGCAGCCTTCATGTGCAATTGTTGATTTACGAAAGGCGTGCAATGGTTTTTTGGAAAAACTACGAACGTCAATGAGACATGCTATAAAATGTTAAATCACAAACCTTATCATCAAATTACTCCATTTAGTAGTTTAATTGTGTTTAACTGTGACAAATGTGAGTGTTGAGCTATAAACATAAAAGTTTTGTTTGTTAACATCCGATCTGATTGTGAGAATTTTCCCTTTGACACAGACATTGAATTTTGTTATATAATCGCTTGTGCACAAGTGTCATAAACAAATAGGTACTTAAACTATTTTTAACTTGCTTTGATTCTCTTGGCTTGGCTTGCGTTCATGCTAGAAAAAAAAGCCAAAAAAACGCCGGCTATGAATCAGCGTTAAAGAAAAAGACATGAAATGGAATTTCGCACAAGACTTGAACAAATTGCAAAGGTTAAAAAGCTTCACGAGAGCATGATTAAGCAGAATGGGAATCTAAAACATACATTTGAATTGTAATTTTCAACTAGGTAAGTATTTAGAATTTATGAGTCTGATTATTTTCCACGTATTCTTGAACTTCTTCTTTTAACTCACATTTTTCTCTTCATTCATCTTTTCGCTTCCTCTTTTTGGCATTTCGCAAAGTTCGTAAATATTGACTGTGATTTTGCGAGCACGAGCAGAAAATAACAAAAAGGGGACAATCTTCAATCTCACCAATCCAACAACCAGCAATAAAATTAAAGTTCAAAAATCTCTCTCTCATTTATTCATAAATGACGCAATCAAGCGATGATCTTACATTAATGTGCTTTATAAGAAGCTCTAGCATGCTTCATGTCTAGAGTAGGTATAAAGTTAATTCAAATCTGGCGTCAATATGTCGGATAGGAATTAAACATTTTAATAACAAAAGTTTATGAAATTGAAATTCTATAAAATATCTCAACGCGGGAAATTTGTAACGTTATTCAAAAGCTTCCAAATTCTTCTTGCTCGATGACGATATAATATTGATAAAGAAAGATAAAAATATAAAAACTTCATCCCTCATTAAATATTCACAACAATCAATTGACAAGAAAATTTATTCACGAATATTCAACCATGGGGGGAAGATGGAAGTATTTGAACTTTTCGATTAGTTTAAAAATGACGATAAAAGATTTAAGAGTAAATTTCCCGCCTTTAGTGTTAATAAGTTTTAACTTGAGAACTTGAGAATAAAACAAATGGAACAAATTCAAACACGACTAAAGCGCCGATGACTCAATGTGATGTTTAATTTTCTTAATTATCTCTTCTTCTTTTGTCTAAAAAGACAATTTTTTTGTGTTATTAAAAACTTTTTTCGTTGTATTTGCACAGCGACAAAAGTCTAAAGAGAGTCTAGGTAGTGCATCTTAATTAGATATCAAGCGATAACTTACAAGCAGAAAAAATGAGAATTTTATGCGTGATGAAGTTAAATGATATGCTGAGCTGATGTAATGAATACTTACAACGCACCGTCACGTTAAGAATCCTTACAAACAATTTGCTTTTGTAAGCAGCTAAAGTAAAACACTTGCCACCCTCGCATTCATGCACAATCATCTATTTATAGGAAGCTAATTGTTCGATTCCTGTTTATAAAAAGTCCACCACGAAAGAATCTGTTTATGGATTTCTCAATTATCTTTTACAAAATTTCATTTCACTAACTTAGTCTGAAGAAAATTATAAAATTTGACGTGTAATTGGAAAACGTTTTACGAGATGATTTTTTTCTTAAAATAATTCCTTCATACGCGATTGTAAAAATACGAAGATACAATGATGATGTCTGTGTACAATTTTTACGAGCAAATGTACGAGATATGTGAGACTCTTCAAATATTTGGCGCTCGGAGTTAAATCTTTTCCAAAAATTATTTAAAAATCTCTCAAATCTCTGTTGGGCACATTTTTTATTATGATAAGTTTATGATGTAAAATTAAAACTTAATGGGAAAGTTGATGAAAAGCTTTCAAGGTTTATTTAAAAAGCGTTCTAGTTATGAAATTAATATGAAAATGAATTAATCTCTCAATAGTTTTATTAACAAATGAAAGAAATTCTTTAATTTTTCTCAATTTGAAAATAACTTCAATTACATCCTTTTCGAACACAAAGTAAACCGCGAGCGTAAATTCATTCATAAAAGAGAAAAAGAAAAACGATATTCGAGCTCCGCAAAGCCATTTACTCAGTTTTGTATAAAACAAAGATTCTCACTCCATCGAAATCAGTCGTTTAGGAAACTTTAACGCGAGAAGATCTCAAAAATATCTCGAATTAAAAAAAAAGAAACTTATTTGAAGTCATCCATCAACGATAGAAAAAAAGAAACTCAGTGTTATAAAAAAGAAGTTTGAATCAAAAGGAAAACCTCACAAGAATTTAAAAAAAATTGCCACAATAAAAAAAGAATTTGTTTAGATAATAATAAAATTATGGCAAAAAATTATGAAGAGTTTCGCAAACATGGGAAGCAGATGGTGGATTATATCTGTGATTATGTGAAAACAATGGAAGAACGGCCTGTGGCACCGACAATTGATCCCGGTTATTTAGTTCCACTATTAGCAGGTAAATAATAATTACGGAAAAAATATTCAAACATTATCATCAAATGTTTATTTCATCAGATGAAATGCCAAAAAAATCAGAAAGTTACAATGATGTGATGGACGATTTCGAAAAGAAAATCATGCCTGGAGTGTTACATTGGAATCATCCAAATTTCTTTGCTTATTTTGGAGCCGGTAACGCTTATCCTTCGGTGCTTGGTGATATGTTAAGCTCAGGTATCGCTGCGATTGGTTTTTCATGGGTGAGTGGAAAATTAAATAAATAGAATAATTATTATAAACACATCAAGTGATGAAAATTCAATTCTTCACTTAAAAAAACTTCAAAGTGCTGCAAATGTGATTCTGTTCTAAAGTTCTTCGCATTGTTACCGAATTTATTGGCAACGAATTAAAAAAAAATTCACAATTGAAATTCAGAAGCGAATAAAGCACGCCACAAAAAAAATGTTAATTGAAAAATCACAAAAGAACAGCATCATAATTGTTTACTCAATTAATTCATCATCTGTTGGATTTCGCGCGGAAAAAAATCTGATTGTCTTGTTTATTCAACAGGCTTCATGTCCGGCGTTGACAGAATTAGAAGCAATCATGCTAGATTGGTATGCGAAGGCACTTGATTTACCGGAGTTCTTCTTGAGTAAAGGCAGCAATTCTGAGAGTGTTGGCGGTGGTGCAATTCAAGCATCCGCATCTGACGCAATTTTCTCTTGTATGTGTGCAGCAAGAGCGCGTGCGATTAAAAAACTTAAAGGCGACAATTACGATACACATGATAGCGTTTATTTACCACAATTAGTATGTTACGCATCTACAGAGGCTCACAGTTCGGTTGAAAAGGCAGCGAAAATGAATTTAGTAAAATTGCGAGTTATTGAACCAGATTCTCACGATTCTATGCGAGGAGATGCACTTGAACGAGCTATTGAAAGAGATATTGCAAGAGGATTAACGCCATTCTTTGTGGTAGCAACTCTTGGAACAACAAGTCAAGTTGCATTTGATAACTTAGTAGAGATAGGACACGTGTGCAAGAAATATCCATCATTATGGTTTCATGTTGATGGAGCATATGGTGGCAATGCTTTTATTGTACCAGAAATGAGAAAATTAAAAGCAGGAATGGAGTTTGTTGATTCATTCGAAGTGAACCCCAACAAGTTATTAATGACAGCTTTCGATTGTACGTGCATGTGGGTGAAGAATATTTTAGATTTCACAGCCGCATTTGCTGTTGATCCACTTTATTTGCAACATCAACATGAAACATCTGTCGTCGATTTACGTCACTTTGGAACTCCTTTGAGTCGTCGATTCCGATCACTTAAACTTTATTTCATGTTCCGTATGTATGGATTGGAGGGTCTTCAAAGTCATGTTAGACGTGTCATTTCGATGGGAAAACATTTCGAAAAGTTGGTGAAGGCTGATGATCGTTTTGAAGTGAGAAACGATGTGTTTCTGGGCTTGGTTTGCTTTCGACTGTTGTAAGTTTATATGATAAATTAGATTTTGATTTTTCATAAATATTAACGCATTAATTTTATTGTCAGAAACTCCGATGCAGTAAATCAAGAATTTCTCGCTCGTATGAATGCTTCAGCGAAAATTCATCTCACACCAGCTAAAGTCAAAGGAAAATATGTCATAAGATTTGTTGCAAACCAGGAGAATTGTAATGAGGCTCAAATTGAAAGTGCATGGAAAACGATACAAACTTTCGCTACAGAACTTCTTGCAGAACTTGCTCCACCAAAGAGAATCAGAGCATCAAGACCAACTCTCAGAAAGTTGGACCGTACACATTCACAGAGATTCTCATTTACAAGAAATGTTTCACAAGAGATTTATGAAAGACAGCCTAGCATGTACGTTTTCATATTCATCATTTGTTTTAAATTTTTTGTTGACTTTTGTTCATGTTCTTACAGACAAAAGCTTATGGATGGAGCTACACCAATAGTAGTGATCGATACCGATTACATATTACAAAGTCTACAGAAAGCAACACAAAGAAACAAAGAAGCAGCTCAAGAGCATGAAAGTACTGAGATTAAGTCCAAAACGCCAAGGAATCCGATGGCAAATGGATCAGCTTAGTAGGATTATGAACTGTTTGTTTGTTAACATTTTTCATCAAAGAACGTCACATTTTTAATTCTTTTCTATTTATAATTAGCATAGTTTAATTATTGTCAATGTAAGCCTCTCTATGGTTGTCTTAATTTGATAAGTGAAAGCTGTTTATCAGTTTATCTTCTTTTAAAACTTCATAAATCGAATGAAAATAGATGTAAATGTTTTTAAAAAAATAAAAGGTTAACTTACAAATTATTTTTTTATTTTTTGGCTTGAAAATCAGTAAAGATTTTACTCCACAACTTATTTCAGTCAAAGATTATACTTTGAATAAAACTTCTATGAACTTTTATAGTTGATCACACTTGTACTTAACTGTTTATAATATTATTTTGAGCAGCAACAATCTTAATTGTTCGAAAATAATCTTTCGATATGTTTCACATGTTTGTTTACAAAAGTTTCGTTAAGTTTTCTTATTTCAAAGAAAATACATTTTCTACAGATTTCTTTGCTTAAAAAATATTTACTAAACTAGTAATAATTGAATTGTTATGCATCCTAGAAATATTTATAAGAATCCTATAGATTTCAAAGCATTGGCGGAAGATTATCCTGAATTTTCAAGAGTTTGTCAATTGGTTTGTGTTCTACAGTTAATTTCTAAACAAAAAAATTTAACAATATTTTTAATATTTCTCATTTTATAGGACACGTTTGGGAAAGTCAAATTAAATTTCAAAGATCATGAATCTGTAAGAATTCTTTCGAAATGCTGTTTGCATAAAGATTTCAACCTAAATGTTGATTTACCAAAAGAAAAACTTCTTCCGACAGTTCCTTTGCGATTGAATTATCTTCTATGGATAGAAGATCTTCTTAAATATATTGGAGGGTCAAGTGACATTTCTGGTATTGATATTGGATGTGGAGCTTCTTGTATCTATTGCTTGCTGTCAGTACGAATGAACAAAAGTTGGAAAATGTTTGCGCTGGAAATTGACAACGAAAATGTAAAATATGCACGTGAAAATGTTTCAAGGAATAATTTAGACGAAAACATTGAAGTGATACAGCAAGATGACTGCAACAAGATTTTTGATAAACTTTTTCAAATTCAGCATCATCCGAAAACATTCTGCATGTGCAATCCTCCTTTTTATAGCTCCCACGATGAAATTAATTCAAGCAATCGCACTGGTAAAAGAAAGTTCCCAAGGTCTGAAACAACAGGAACTTCATCAGAGCTTGTGTTTTCAACTGGAGGTGAATTTGGATTCATCAATAAAATAATCAATGAAAGTGTACAATTAAAAGGGAAGATTCAAATCTATTCGACGATGATTGGTTGCAAGAAGAATTTTGAAAGGATCTTACTGGAGTTGAAAGCAAAGAACATTTCAAGTTTTACAAAAACAATTTTTGTTCAAGGAAAAACCACAAGATGGGGAATTGCTTGGAGTTTCACTCATGATCTGACAAGTTTCAAAGACCATTTGGAAAAATCAAAAATTCTTCAATCTGCAAAAAAAGTTTTAACGTACAATATAACGAATTTAGAGTTTAAAGAGACTGTAGAGTACTTGAGTAAAATTTTTAATGATCTGAGTATAAAAGTGAAATCAATTGAAGAAAAGGATCAATTAATACGGTGGGAACTCGTTGCTGCTGAAAATACTTGGTCCAATCAAAGACAAAGAAGAAGAGCTAAATGTAAAAACACTGAAGTTGCATCGAATTCTACTAACAATTACGAAACTGAATCTAAACTGCACATTGGATTAGAGATTCAGAATTCAAATGATTCAATTTTGTTGAAAATGTTTTTCATTGAAGGATCAATGGATAGAGATTGTGTTAATCAGATATTACAATACATAAAAAATAGATTTATTAGTTTTGTAAAATAGAAATAAAAATCTATACTTAAAGTTTAATTAAGCCTATTTTTAATCAAAATAATAAGAATTCAAGAATCTTTTCTTGAGAAGTATAATATGAAAGAAAAAATAACGGTCATATTATATTTGAAATTTTAACGAAATAAATTTTTAGAATTCTGTCACCTTGGTTGGCACAACATCAATGTCATTTGTAATACTTAATCAACTTGAAAGAAAGTTTGTTTACTAACTTCATAACACTTTGAATCGAAGAATAGAACAGAAGTTAAAAGTGTTTGAATAGAGAAATATTAAAACCATGTCAATTAACAATATTTCTGTTAAGAAAGAAAATGAAAATGTAAGTGTTATAAGAAATTTGTTGTAAATTTATATATTTATATTTTTTTTCTTAGTTTCTCGTTGACGACCTGTTGGAGCAAAAATCTGTGAAAGAACGAGCCTTCGTTAGAGCGGCACAAATTTCAAAGATGGTTAATTCAATAACACTCGGTCCAAATAGCAGTGTAGAGCTTGTTGATATTAATGGAAATACTGAAAACGGCGAAGTTGAAAAGACAGTAAAGAATGAGACTAAAATTATAAAAGAAGAACAAAATCCTGCCATAACCATCAGTAAGACTTCCCCTGTATCAGCAAATGATATCATTTCTCTGAAGCGAAGAATGAAAGAACAACAAGAGGAAAAAATAATAAAAGAGAAAGTCAGAAAACAAATGGAAAATCGACTTAAACAAGAACAAGATCATTATAAAAAAGTTCAGAATATGATTGAAAATATGAAACTTGATGCTGAAAAGAAACATAAAGCAAATGTTGCAGCTCTTGAAAAACAAATTGAAGATGCGCTAAATGTCGAGAAACAGGAAGAAATTGCATATCAAAGAGAACGAGCAGAATTAATGAAAAACACAAAAAAGATTCTTGAACAACAGGAAAAAGAATTAAAAGACAATCTTAAACGACAGAGTGATATTTTTAATAAACTGCAAGATAATTTCATTACAATAGTTCAATGCTGCTCACCAGAAATGTCTGCAATTACAGATGTCGTCAAAAAACAATTCGAAGAATTGAAAGCACAAAAAATTTCATATTCGAACTCATTAGATGGAATGAAGATGATTTGTTTGAAAGCTCGTGAGATTTGTGAATCATTGATGAAATTACGTAAGCAGTTTGAAGCTCAGGCCATTGCCCGACAAGCAATCAAAGATGCTGAACAAAAACAACAGGAAGCTCAAGCTTTGGCTGAACAACAAGCTCAACAACAAGCTCAACAACAGGCTCAACAACAGGCTCAACAACAGGCGCAACAACAGGCTCAACAACAAGCGCAACTTATCAAACTTCAATCGAAACCGAAAGTTGAAGAAGTACTTTCAACAAACAACACACAATACGCTTCTCATTTATCTCAACCTGATACTGGAAGATACTACAATGAAATGATTCGACTTTTAATCGAGAAACAAAATGCGACTAAGCAATTGTCTGAAAATAACGAGTTGCAAGGATTTCGATTCGCTCTGAAACTTGTTGTAAATAATCCAATAAATCAGCTTAATGAACAAATCAAGACCACTTTAATTGAAAGCTATCAGAAGCTGAGTGTATTCTTGTCAGGCCAGAGAGTAACAACAACCAAAGGAGCGATTGCCATAACAGACCATCCTGAAGCTGCAGATTGGACAAAACTTCGATTAGCTGAAAAACTTATTGTAAGTTTCTTTCGTTGATTTTTGATTAAAGAACTTCCATTTCAAATGTGATTTCTTTCCGCAGGATAATTACGATAAAAACCCAACAAGTTACATTGCGGCTTTAACTGTCGCTTTATGGCAAAAGTTTCCTGATCTCGGTGAAATCTTCAGAGCAAAATTATTCAAAGAATGCCCATTTTTAATTCCTTTCAAACCTCCACGATTTATTGGTCAATCAGAAAGCGATTACTTGATGTGTTTAGGATTTCGAAAGACAGATGAAAAGTTTGAAAGCGAATCACTTTATGAGTCAAGAATATCGAATTTTGCTGCACTTATGGCATCAATTTGGATAAGTTATCCACGAAAAGAAGAAACAGCACCACATCCTTTCAATCTCGATGAAGGGTGGAAGTTCCTTGTAAATATTTTGAACTCTGAACCTGACGAAATGTACATGAACATCATTGAAAATGTCTTAAAAGTTGCTGGATTCAGATTACATTTGACTTATAAAAAACAATTTGTCAAACTTATGATTATTTTACGTGATTTTTATATTCCTGCTATTGAAAAAGCTGGAACAGAAAAGACAGGATCGCTAAACCGACTTCAAAATATCATTACAAAGTTCTTTAAGGAAAATCGCTTTGAAGAGTCGAAAGGAAGACTCGTAATGAATTACTGGTGAAGTGCGTGATATTTAATTTTTCTTTATTATTTTCAAATGAATTTCATCATAATTTATATTTGTCAAATGGAGCTGCAGTTGTCAATAATTCTTTATCTGTTATAGCGATTGCGGAATCTACGAAATCTTCTTCTAAATCGCCGACGAAATCTTGTTGAATTAAAATTAGATGAATTAAAGCATTCTCGAGTCAAAGCTGAATAAATAAATTTGGATTAAAAGAAATTAAATGGATTCTATTTCTAACATTAAAATATTAAATGAATTTTATAAACTTACGGTAATCATCGATAGTTCCAATAAGCATTGCATTGTCTTCATCTGTTTCATCTCCAGGAATTGAGAGTGAGGCTACAAAAATTACAAAAATCAGCGAAACAGTGACAAACGTCAGCCAATTTCTCGGTAGACAAAATTGAACCATGGTCGAGTGTTTTTAAAATTTCTTGCCACAACTGACACGATGAAGAAGAATTAAGAGAATTTATATTGTAAAATTTTTGATAACAAAAAAAAAATTGAATCGAAGATGATTGCATGTTCCACACTAATCATTATAGATTGTGAATAAATTATGAATATTTGCTAAATGATTTTCATTATTTTTTGTTTTTGTCAGAACAGGCAATAAATTAAAAAAAGATAAACAAAAGTGACCTTGAAAAGAGTCAAGTTCAATGTCATTGATGTTGAAGAGTTCATTGAACTCTCTTCCAATGTTATAACTGTTATAATTATGTCAAGTATTTTTACTTGAACGCAGTTGAACAACTTCTTAAAGTTCAAATTCAGAATGAGAAAAATAAATAAATGAAGCTAATTGTATGCGATAAACTTCATCAACGCCTCCTATAATTTGATAAAATAAATTTGAATGAACCAAAAATTCACCCGAGATAAAATTACTAACAAAAGTCTATAATTTTTATGATTCATTTTGTTTTATTTCCCTTTTTTAACAATTGAAAACTATAGAAAAAAAGACTTTTCCTGTCACACAGAACACAAACAAACTTTTAACTAAGCATAATTTAAATAGTCGATAGTCCACCTTCAGTGTTCTCAAACTCAAGCTGTGCTAATGTTCGAACGACTTCACCACGTTGTGCTGGAAGAAGGGCCTGACATAGACCGATGACTGCATCAAGGGCAACTTCAGGGCATTCCTAGGAAAGATTAAATTGTTGAATAAACGATAAATCATTTTTTTATATCAATTCTACCTCAAGCGATTGCTTAATCTGTGAAACTATGGCATCCTTCTTCACTGCATTAATATTACGATTAACTGTTGATTCATCATTCTTTTTCTGTGCTTCCATCCATTCAACAACAGCTTCATTATCTTCCCATTGATAAGCATTTGTTTCACCCTTGTCTTCAACAAACCATCGACGAAGCATTGCTGAAAATCAAGCAATAAATAATTTAAATGAATATGAAGGAAAATCTAAAAGAAAACTCACATTTAGCTGCTCCAACTGATAAACTTTTCTGAGCATTAAGAATCTTTCGAACAACAAAATCTTCAAGCAAGCACCGTCTCAATCGCCAGTAGAAGAAACCACGAGATGTGCGCCATGGAACAATTTCACTAATGCAACCTTTTTCAAGCATTCTTTCAGGTGTATCGTGTAAGTCAGCAAAGTGAACAGCAACTGTATGATAAACATGAATTAAAGCTGCAATTCTTTCCTTCATTTTAACTTTCAAAGCACTGATTGCATCTTTATTGCCATTGGCTTCAAGTATTTGTTTTTGTAGCTAAAGAATAAAAGAAATTCCATTAAATATAAAAATTCTTTGCAGCATTAAGTCGTTCAAAACTTACACTCAAAGTTGTTGGATCGACTCGTTGAATAGTTTTCAACAAATCTTTCTCTTTGTATTTAACTTCAACGATACCTTCCGGTTCTAAAACACCAGCACGAGATTCCGGATCAGCATAAGTTTCAAGATATCTTGGATTGATCAAAGAGTCAAGAACCGCCCACGCTCCACCACGTAGTTCAGCATTTGGTGGTAAATAAACAAAGACTGGTTGTTTATATTCTCGCAATCCATCAACGATATAAGCTCCAAACTTCACAATTTGTTCGTACATATCTTTTTGACCCCCAGAAAATCCACGCCAATTGGCAAATATCATCAACGGAAGTTCTTCACGTGAGAAATCTTTGATTGTTTGTGCTGTTTTGTAAGATGAATCTGGATACCAAACTTGACCAGCTTGCTGACAAGTCTTTGACTCCGAATCTAAGTTAGCGGGATCAGCTGGAACTGTCACTTCAACAGTTCTCGTTTCAACAGCAATAACACCAATAGGAATACCGCCAAGTCGTGCACGACCTGTAACGACTGTTTGAGCCCATGGCGCCATTATTTCTGACCATGAATTTCTATCAAAGAATCCAGTTTCCCATTCGTTATGATTCACGGGATTTACACGACCTGCAAGCATCCATCGTGGATCGTATGGAGCCTTTGTTGGAATGTATCCAATATTACGTGTTATCGGATCATTTGAAATGACCATCGGTAAATTTCCACCACGTGAATCAGGAATGTAAGAGAGCCAATGCAGAATTGTATAAATTCCATCCAAATCACATGTTTCAGTCTTGTGCGATACTCCATTGTTGTACATGATTTGAATGCCACCAAGTTGATTGTTCGATGCGTAAACTTTACGTCCAAGAAGTTTGTTCAATGCAGCATAGCCCGTTAAAATGATGTGAGAATTCTCAATTTGAATGACGCGTTGACCGAGACGAACGAGATATGAGCCAATGCCGATGGTTCTGCATGTCACCATCGAAATTGTGACAATGTCTTCATACGCTTTCGATGTCTCGCTTGCAATCATTCCAGCATATCTCAAGTTCTCAACGCCAAGTCCATCTTTTTGTCCGATAATGTCAGTGATTTTGTATCGTGGCTCGCCTTCGTCTTCGATTAAAATAGCACGAACAGAGTTCTTACTTGCAAGTTTGCTGTAATCCTCTGTCGTCAAATAAAGATATTTGAATCCCTTTTCAGGTTCATCCGGATCCTCCCACGCAACTCTAAACAATGATTTCACTTCTTCCGCTAATCCAATACGTGCACCGCTGTTACATGAAATGTAAATTCTCGGAATTTTTCTTTCTCTCGCTATTTCAGATGCTTTCTGGAATACCATGTCTTCCTTCGGTCCGAATGATCCAATGAAACATGTCAAATCATTTGCAATCACGACAATGTCACGACCATCAGGGAATTCTGGTGTTGCTAATCTTATTCGCCATGCGACCATTCCAATCTGTTTAATGTGAAGAAAACAGAAAATTGAGATGAAGATAAAGTGAAAATAAATTTAATTAACTTACATCATTTTCCCCTGGCAACCTTTGAACTTCTTCCATTGAATCTCCATTCAACACAAGTTCATTACATTCAATCAGAACTTTTTCAGGTATGCGAATGTCTTCTGCTGGACGATCTTTTGAAAATTGCTTCCACAACTTCTCGGTCATTTGACGGAACATGTCGGGAAGATCAAAACCTAAGAAAAAAATTGATTAAAGATTAAATAAAACAAAAGTGGAAGATTTCTTACAATAAGTTGTGCCACTTGATTGTGCTTGGAATCTCTTTTGCTGTAAATAATCTTTCGTCATGTATGGTGTTGAAATTGGAAGATGATGCAACGGGCCTTGACGTTTTCCATAGGCATGGAACTTAATCACGCCATTCTCCTTCACTTCTTGATACATCGAAATGTCGAGGAAATATCCCGAATCATTTGCAATGCAAAGACGTATTGCTGTCGTATCTGATTGCGGTGTCGGACGAATCACAAGTTTCAATTCAGCTTGAAGAACGCGAAGCTTCCATAATCGCGGTCCATAACGCATAATCATTTTCGTAACAGATTCTTCAATCTTTGTCGGATCCATGATGACACATGGAACGAAGTTCAGGAAGATGTGATTGCAATCAGTGTACTTTGCATAACGATGTGAGAAAGCAACTTCAAGTTCATCCATCGCTTCAAGCAACACTCTTTCACCTTCATTTTGTAAATATTCAAACGACGCTTCTTTTGTTATCAAATCGGAATGTCGAATAATTGAACGAATAAAGAAACGATAATCAGACACTTTTTGATCATTTGATGTCTTAGCACGTCCCAAATATAAATGCATTTTCTGATTTGCTGTTGGTAATGCTTCCAGGTCGTAAGTTCTCATTCGATTAAGTTCCAATTGAAAAGCACAAGCCGGCTCCAAATGACGATAAATTCGATCTTCTTCAAACATATCACGAGCACGATACGTGAAGAATTTCGGGAATTGTCGCTTCTTCAAAGCAGCAAACGTGATTCTTCTTATACGTCGAGCGAACAATTCATCGCGATGAAGAGCACAATAAGCACCAAATAAGTTTGCCATTTGAATGTCGTCCATATCACCTAAATCACGAACAGCAACACTTGCGATGTGAATTGGCTCAAGTGATGAATTTAATTCACCATTTTCAACTGGTCGCGGCAACATTCCATCACCTGACAATGAGACATTAATCGATGTGCTTAATCGACGATCTTCCGAAGCTGATTCAACAGCATCGACAGCTTCAGCGACTTTACTATTGCCATAAGTCGCTTCATGATCTTCTTGAAGTAAATCTAAGATCTCATCCGAGTATTGTTTGAAATGTTCAAATGAATCAAATGCAGCCATGCAACCAGTTCGATTGAATATTGCATTTAAACATTCACCATTGCCATCGAATGGAATGCGATTTGGATGTGCTGTCGGTAGAAGGAATTGGAAGTGAACTAAGGGAACTTCACCTGACAATTCTAAATGTTGTAAGCATGTCAAGTCATAAGACGTGTAAGCACGTCGCACATAAACTTCGAGTGCAGCATTACAAACAGCACGATTTGAATGATAAAAGAAATCATGAAGAATGTCAAAGATTGACGTCTCTGATAGAATCAAACGTTGAAGATTCTCAGGATGAAAGTCATGGCCGTACATGTCAACAGCTGATAAGAAAATCGATTCCATTTGATTGTGTCGTAATTCATACGCCGGTTGATGAGCTGCAATGAGAACCTGACGAGCTCTCAAAGCAACTCGCGAATGTTCAGTGCGATTTAATGACGTCAATTCACTCAACGTCGCTGCCAACTCATCAGTCAATCCCGGTTCATTACTCCATAAATGATCAATGAGAAGTGTCACAAGTAAATTCTTCTTCGCAACTTGTGAATGTGAGAAAATCGTATTGACAACCGTCAACATATCGTCTTTGTTGTTCTCACGAATTTGCGCAACACATTTATCATAATGCCCATGCTGGAATTGACTCTCGACAGCAAAATATTGTCTCAACAATTCATGAACAGCCGCCTTCATTCGTCCACGAATTCCATTACGATAACGTTGAACAAGTTGAACAATTCCTTGAGTTGTTAAGAAGAAAACGTCGCGGTCAGAACGCTTTTGAAGTGTCGCTGCATGACTATCAATCACCGATGCAATTTGTTGACTGGGAAATTGTGCGAGAACACTTGTGATGTTCCTTTCATAAAGCGTCATCAATTTACGAATCTTCTTCTCAACCGACACTGGAATTCGATTCGAAATGCTCGCAATGACTTCTTGAAGTTCCAATAAAGGAAGCGAAGGATTTCTTAAACTTTGCATGAATTTCTCGATAATCTCACGAAGACGTGGAGCATTGTAAGGGTCAGGCAAGCAGTAGCCAGCAAGAGTATTCTCAAGAATTGATTTGTAATTGTTATGAACACGATTAAGCTTCTCGGGAATATTTACATTATCATTGATCGGCCAAGTATTGCGATAAAGTTGAGCTTTCGTAACAAGCGATGGATCGTCAAGTTCCAAAGTTCCAATTAATGACCCAGCATCAAGAACAGAACCAGGTCGTTTAAGGAATGTTATCGTTCCATTCTCTTGACTTGTCAACGTCATCACCATCTTCATTACTTCAATTTCAGCATAAGTTTGACCTTTCACAACATGCCCACCATCTTCAATCAAAAGATTGATGAGCTTACCAGCTGAAGGGCTTCGAAGCAATGAAGGATCGTTTTCCTTGTCAAAGATGCAAGTTTGATTTCCAATTACAATTCGATAGCGATCAACTTCTTCCTTCATATACGTCGTGTAACTTGCACCTTCAAGTGACAACAGCATTCCACCGTCAGTCAAACGATGAACGTCAACTTCTTTGAACGATCCATTCATGACGAGAAAATAAGAATTTTCACCACTTTTCACTGCTTGAACTCGATATTTGACAGCTTCAGAAATTAATTCAACATCGACGACATTTGTGAGTGTGTTGGCTGCTTGAATTTGTCCTTTTTCGAGTGATGTTTGGAAGTTGGTGAAAGCTTCAGTGATTTGACGACAAGCAATGTGAAGAGCGCCACAAATGACACCTAAGAGAACGTCAGGCTTCTCTGACTTTACACGTTCAGCAATGAGAGCGTCTAGCCATGCTGTGTCGATTGTGTTATCCAAAAAGCGATTTGCTTCAAGTAAAGTAATCAAATATTCAACAGTTGTCCTAAAGTCACCACGAATTGACAACTCCTTTAATGCTATGACAAGATTCTCACGTGCTTGATTACGATTCTCACCCCAAGAGAAGCAATGACCAAATTGCGAATCAGCAAACTCATGCAAACCACCAGAAGCAGCGACACTAAAATATCCCCAAACATTTTTACTTGATCGAAAGTTCAACTCTTGAACTGTTCCCGAAGATGGTTTGAAGCCTTCGTCAGGATTTTCTGATGTGATTCGTGCGGCAATGACGTGACCCCATGGACGTGGCTTGTTCGGTGGATTATCAAAGTCAATAATTGACGATTCCCATGGCGACTCTCCGTACATCAGACGAATGTCTTTGATTCGAAACAGTGGAATTCCCATTCCAATTTGAAGTTGACATGCTGGAAGATTCACATCAGCGACCATTTCTGTGCACGGATGTTCAACTTGTAAACGTGGATTCAACTCCAGAAAATAAAAATTTCCTTCAATATCGTAAAGATATTCAACAGTTCCAGCACTGACGTAGCCGACCATTTTAGCAATTCGAACAGCCGACTTCTCCATGTATTCGAACACTTCTGGTAAGGCAACAATTGCTGGCGCTTCTTCAATAATCTTTTGATGACGACGTTGAATGCTGCAATCTCTTCCAAACAAACTTATTGCATTTCCATATTGATCGGCAAGTAATTGAACTTCCAAATGACGTGCACCACGTGCAAGTTTCATAACGAAGATTGGTGAGCCTGGAACTTCAGCTTGAACTTGGCGAAACAATGCTGGAAATTCTTCAGGTGTATCAACACGTCGAATTCCTTTCCCTCCGCCACCTTCCGATGCTTTAATCATAACTGGGAATCCAATTTTCGACGAAGCAATCAATCCTTGCTCAGCTGATGTCACACAGCCACGATTGAAGAGTTCAGTTGATATTTTAATCTTCTTTCCACTATATTGAGCTTTTAAATCGGATCCCGACCATGGAAGAGTCGGAATGTCCGCTGTTTGAGCGACAATTGATGATGCAACTTTATCACCAAGTGCCCACATTGCTTTCTCTGGTGGTCCCAAGAACACCAAACCCTTTTTATGAAGAAGTTCCGGTAACTTCGGATTCTCCGATGCATGTCCCCATCCAGCCCAAACAGCTTGAACTTGAGTTCGTAATGCAATCTCAACAATAAGTTCAACATTCGCATAATTATTGTTGTTTGATCCACCAGGAACAGGAACGTAATGATCGGCCATTTTTATGTATCTATTGAAATATTTCATAATGATTGCTTAATATTGTTTGAAATTGTTTACACTTACTCAGCATTTGCTTTAAGATCTTCAGGTGTAACCATCACAACAAAGCGTACAGCTCGCTCATTCTTAAACATTTCATACGACCATCGACGAACTGATCTCATACATTTAACTGCAGCAATTCCATTGTTAGCAATTAACACTCTGTTAATTGCTCGATTACCGCCGAATCTTTTAACAAACTCTTCAGTTGTTGCTAGCAAAAAATCACGATCTAAATTACGTTCTAAGCCTAAGCCAGTGCCATGAGACATGCTTGGCCTGTTTTAAACAAGAAAAAAACATTTTTTAATTAATTTTCAATTAGAACTTTTGTTTTTTGAAAGAAATTGTTAACTGGCAAATAAAGAAAGCGACAATTACTTCATTCCGGACTTAATCGGTGTCGGTACTGATAAAAGTTGCTCGTTTGGTGATATTGGTGATGACGCTTCTTTCACTTCTTCTAGTTGACTATTGTTAGACGTTGCTAATCCGATTTCAATTTGAGGTGGCGGAGGTTGTGGTGGCAACGATGGATCATTATCAGTTGTTGTATTCCAGGCACTTTCTTCGCCTGTTTCAGCAAGTACAAATCGTTTACTCGGCCTTCGTTTCAGCATGCTTGACGATGACAATGATGATGAAGAAGCTTCTAACTAACAAATAACGAATACCTTCGCTTAAGTATCGAATTATTTGTCTTTTTGTCATTTCATAATTTGTAGATAATAAAGTTATTAAGAAAACAGAAACAGAAGAGAATGTCGAACGAATGAAGAAATAATCATTAGTTATAATGTTTTGGCGCTTTGAAGAATGTAAACAAAATTCTTATAGACAGAAGATTATTAAACACTTTTGACATTGAACATTCGCAAGACATCAAACTTATTTACGTAATTCATGACCTCCATGCTACATGTACAAGAGAATCTATTGTTGGTTTCATTATTAAAAACTTCTTCCTATTATTAAGAATAAATCATTGTTAGTTAAGCTTAAGATGCTGTCTTAGGTCGGGCAATGTACGTGATCTTGATCTCTTGCGTATGTGTTTGAATTTTTTTTTGTCTTGCCTAGTCTTGATTTTTAACAAATTGACGACTATGATAATGTCAATAGATCTAATTTAATGCCTTCTCATGACATCATCATCGATGATAGCAAACAAAGAATGAACGAAAAAATAACCTGAGTAATTAGTTAAACCAGTTTTCTTACTTTTGGAAGAAGCTTTTAAGTTTCTCTTACATAATTCGAACTTCAAAATCCAAAATGAAATAATAAAAACAAAAAATAAAGAAAAGAGAAATTGTTAATGATATGAACAGTTAAAGGAAAAGTGTGCGTGAATGTGAAAGCTTTGTTTATGTCGTGGAAGTTACATTGTTAAAGCAATTTGCTGTCGTTTTTTAATTCTCAATATTTACCGATAAATCAATGTTCTTATCTTTCGATAGCTTGTTAGCAATGTAATCAAACAGTGAGCACATTTAAATAAAATAAATATGAAACAAAATGAGTCAAAAATGTGAATGCTGCACGCGATTGTTAAGCATTTTGTGTGCATGCACAAAAATCATTTAAGAAAATATCAAAATCCAAACAAACTATAAAGAATCTAATGTTTATCTAATTACCGAGATAACTTCAATAGAATGAAAAAAGGGAAAAAATAAATTTTGTTCGCTAGTCTAAAGTTTTTGTTTTTTATATTTTTACACTGCAAAAGTTATTCGATGAAAGTTTCACTAAATCACTGAATTGTTTCTGATTTTGTGTTTCTTTTAATTTCTCTCTTATTAAGTCTTCTTTTGCCTACTTTAAACTATTTTTGTAACTTGACTTGTCTGTTCAACGTCCGACATCAAACTGGTAATAACGAATTTCTTCGACCAAATAAACCACATAAGCCGAAAAAAATGGCAACACAACAACATTCGTTGTCTGATGTTAAGTGGTCAAACCACTTCTCACGATCTGACGTAATTAAACTTGCTAACGTCATCATCATCATCATTGTCGTCGTGTTTCTTTTGCTTATTTTACGTCGTTTTGTTTTTGATTGCAAATATGTGTCTATGAATGTAAAAGTGAACTTGGAACGGTGTCGAATCAGAAGAAGAGAGGTTGATTGTGGTAGGCTCGCTCTTGAAGATATTTTGTTTAGCATTCCATTCAAACATCTGACTGCGATTGTCTTGCCGGTTGTTTTTGTTGTGGTACATAAATTATTTTCATTTATGTTTAGTCTCACGCTTCGTATTCACGATTCGCGAATCACTTTCAATTTCGTTTATTTGCCAGTAAATAATTTAAATTTTTAATTTTTAACTATTTACTTACCTTAAGCGTCGTCGTTTTTCTAATAAAGCGGCATCCGATAATTGCTTTGTAAGTCCGCCATTGCTATTTATTCCTGATGGAAACAAATCTTTTTCTTCGACATCATCATACGGATCTTCACCACCCATCAGGAAATTTGGTTTAACTTCATCTTTCGTTGGTTCCATCATATAAAAATTTCTTATCGTTTCTGACGATTTAATTTCACTATTTTCGTCTTGTTCACTGAATGTTACGTGTTTTGCAACTTTGTCTTCAGAAGATGTTTCCGAGACTGAGACCTCTTGATCTGTAATTCGATCAATAAATAATGTTTCATAATTTTAATGCTGATAACATCATTGCAAGGAAAAGTTTGAAAAAGTTGTCGATTGAAGCAAGAGAAGGTTGAATGAAAATACTAAATACCACGTACTTAAAGTGTTAGTGTTGACTTCACGGTCTAAGGTTAACTTTTGCTTTTTTAATTTATGCAAATAGAATTTATATATTGTCAATATAAAGCATAGAATTAAAACCATAAACTGACACATGAAATGAACACGCACGATGACAACAAGGAACTTTATTTATTTATATGAGGGTCAAGCACAGTCTAAGATGAAATAAATTGGAGATAAGATGTTACAAAATATTCAAATTTAGATTGATAACAGTCACAGGTGACAACAAAATTGATTCTAAAATGCACGCACTAAATGAATGATTAAATTTTCACTGATAAATTAATTTTTATGCTATAATTATCATTATGGAAGTAATAAGAAAAAAAAATGATCGCATGATCATTCGTCATTGTCACTTTTTAGTTCAAAACAATTCTTTTTTCATCAATTCATGATGACAACATAGCAAAAAATTGATGTTAAAGCATAACACGATCGTCTGAATTCTCTAATGAGCACAAATAATTATTTTATTTTCTTTTTTACCGGCTCGGCACGAATTAGTTTTTTTTTGCCTGATCAACAACCTTCTTGGTTCACTTTACGATTGTGACTACTTAGAAGCTCGTTCGTTTAATTGTAATTGCAAATGATAAGTAAATGGAAAGAAATTTCAATATTCAACAAATGAATAAGTTTGAAAACATCGCATGGAAGGGGTTTTTGTCGTTGTTTTCGTTCAAGTTTTCGTTGAATACTTTTGTAACTTACAAATGTTATGATTGTATACAAAGTTTAGTGATAAATCCACCCAGCCCTCATTAAACTTTGTTATCATGGCAAATCAGGTTTCTATCTTGATTTCAATCAGTGCGTGCAAACTTTAAAATCTGTTTTTTATCGGCGAGACATTTCGAAGAAGGAAATAAAATACCAAACCTTGTGAAGCGTTAAATTATTCTTTTTACCAACGTAATTGAAAAATCGTCTTCTTCTTTTAAAATGTCATTAAGGAACGCAAATTTGCTACACGTTTTAGCGCCAATGTGTTTGTTGCAAAGTTAAGTCACCTGTCATCGTCATCAATCATCATAATAATTACAAATTCAAATTGTTTTTATACAATGAACGTAGATAGAGAGGTAAATGTAAATAGAGGCTCGCCTAGAAATATTTACGGAAAATATTTCGTGACGTCATTAATGGAATTCTCGGTATATCATCATACGATTTTTTTTCGAGTCCAATCAGAAATCAAGGTTGAAGAGAAAACTAACTGTTATTTTCACGGGATGTTTTGGAAGAAACTGGTTTCAAAATACTATCAACCTACATGTTGTGCCACGATCTACAAATTTTTTGTCTCTAATTTCGATATCTAATTATGATAAGAGTTAATCTTTCCTTAAGCAATTTAAAATTTATCCAAATACGGTAGAAGAGTGCCGGTCACCAATTTATTAATTTTGTTATTTTACACTTAATTTTATTAAATCATCGCATTTTTGGGTGTGTGATGGTCTGAGTTTTTAGTAAAATGATTATTAATTTCCATATATGATTCTTTTTTGTCTTTTAAGCTTAAAAATGGGAACAAAAACTTCTATCGGATACTATCACAATTTATTTTTCTTTGTGCAATATTCCATACTTGAATCCATAATGTCTAGCACGATCTTTCACTTATAATCCACTTATGAACACTCTTTCGATTATAAATCATTATTTTCTTTTATTAAAATATAATTTTTATTAATCTTACAAGTTTATTTTCACAAATTGTACGAACACATTTTGATTCGGATTACAAGATTTCGAATTTAAACAGCGAAAAGCCGTTAAATTTTTAATAAAAAAATCCAATATTTCAAATGTCATCATCATCATCAGAGTAGGGAGTGCACTAACCAGTGCACTAAAGCGATTAAGAATATAGGAGTATGAACCCCTTCTTGTTTCGCTCCCTATATCCCGTCATTTGATGATTGATGTTAAATAAGGAAAGTTTCAAAAACTACCTTAAATTTTGCGTAAAAAGTGAAATGTGCTTGTAAATTTAGCTCAAAGCGACCAATTTGACCGCTGATACAGGAAGATGGGGGTGATTTAGGATTTATTCTACAAACCTTCAGAGATGAGTTTCTCTGAAGATGAGAACCCTCACCAGCCATCTCCCTGATCTCACTGTCCGCCGAAGAGGTCGAAGAAGGTGGACCGGACACTCGTTCTCCTCATAACAAGGAGAGGATCCTCCAGTTCCACCCCCGCGAGCTCCTCAACATTAATGACAGTGTGGTCAAAAATCCTGATGATTGACTTTAAAACGTGAAGGACGAAATAAGAGCAACAAACATGATTTGTCCGTTCGAAATCTTCAACACGAAAATCAGGAAGAGGGGGGAATTTTGGGAATTTATTCTACAAACCTTCAGAGAAAAAAAGTTTCTCTGAAGATGAGAACCCTCACCAGCCATCTCCCTGATCTCACTGTCAGCTGAAGAAGTCGAAGAAGGTGGACCGGACACCCGTTCTCCTCATGAAGAGGAGAAGATCCTCCGGATCCACCTCCGCGAGCTCCTCGGCATTATATTTCAAATGTTTATAAAAACTTTTATAAAAGTGACTAAATTTTTATTAGTCTCTTCATATCATTTGACTTGATAAAATATGACAAATTGAACATTTTTCTCTTATTAAATAACAAAATTTATAAATTTTACATTCCATCGTAGACTGGCCCTGGACCTTCGGGAGAAACCCAATTGATGTTTTGTGTAATATCCTTAATGTCACATGTCTTGCAATGAATGCTGTAAATATACATAGAAGCATACATAAAATAATAAAATACATTGTATAATTTTATTTTAACTCACCAATTTGCAGCATTAATTTGAAGACGCATCGCTTTGCCAGTTGCGTCTTCTTCATCAGGTACGAATTCATACACCCCAGCAGGACAATATCGTGATTCCGGACCAGCATAAATTTCTAAATTATTTTTAACTGGTATATCATCATTCTTCAATGTTAAATGTGCCGGTTGATCTGCTTCATGATTTGTTCCCGTTAATGCAACTGATGACAATAAATCAAATGAAACTTTTCCATCAGGTTTGGGATATTCGATAGGCTTGCATTGATTAGCTGGTTTAAGCTTCGTATTATCAGCACCACCATGTGATAAGGTCCAAGTTTCTTTTCCCCCAATAGCAATTGAAAAACCGCTGTACAAAACTCCTCCATATAAACCTAGTGCTGAATGAAAACTTGGACGAATATTTCTAACTTTGTACAAATCTTTATAAATGTAAGATTCTTTGACACGTTCAGCATATTCCGATGGTTCAATCGTTTTCTCATCTGAATTAAATATTTTCTCAACGATACTTTCAGCAGCTAAAATTCCACTCTTCATAGCGTAGTGACTGCCTTTGATCTTTGGAACATTCAAAAAGCCGGCACTACATCCAGTTAAACAACCTCCCGGAAACGTGAGTTTTCCAATCGATTGAAATCCTCCTTCATTCAGTGCTCGAGCTCCATAGGCGATTCTTGTTCCATCTTCAAAAATTGGCTTCACTTTTGGATGTGTCTTGAATCTTTGAAACTCTTGGAATGGACTGATATAAGGGTTGCTATAGTCGAGACCAATAACAAATCCAACAGCAATCAATGGCGTAGGTTCATTCAGATGATAAAGAAATGAACCTCCATAAGTGCTTTTATCTTATGAAATATAGAAAATATAATAAATTAATGTTAAATGAATTTAAATTCTTACCCATTGGCCATCCAATGCTATGTTCAACAAGTCCAGGTTGATGATTCTCTGGTTTAATTTCCCAAACTTCTTTTAATCCTATTCCATAGCTTTGTGGTTCACATTGTGAATTTAATCCAAACTTCTGAATAATTTGTTTTGTTAAATGACCACGACAACCTTCAGCAAAAATTGTGCACCTTGCATGCAGTTCCATGCCTCTTGCGAAATTATCTTTTGGTGATCCATCTTTAGCAATTCCATTATCTTGTGTTGCAACTCCCTTGACACTTCCATCTTCATTGTAAAGAATTTCTGATGCACCATAGCCGGGATAGATCTCGACGCCAAGGGATTCTGCTTGTTCACCAAGCCACCTTACAACATGTCCTAATCTTACAATATAATTGCCTTTGTTATCCATAGGCCAACCCGGAAAGATTGGAATAGGAAAACGAGATGATTTTGTTAAAAAGGAGAATTTATCATGAGATACTGGAGTATTTAGTGGTGCACCAAGTTCCTTCCAATTAGGAATTAATTCGTTTATAGCTACTGGATCAAGACATGCCCCAGAGAGAATGTGTGCGCCAACTTCACTTGCTTTTTCAACAACACAAACTCGAATTTCTTTTTCTTGCTCAGCTGCAAGTTGCTTCGCTCTTATAGCTGCCGATAATCCCGCTGGACCTCCACCTACAATCAACAAGTCTGTTTCGTCAACAAAACGTTCCATGTCAACTTCTTTCCATCTCTCGTCTTTTTCACGAGGATGAATAGTGTAATGTGTGGTGATTTTTGCATAATTTCTCTGCTGAATTATTTGATTACGATGATGACGAAAACAAACTGAAGAAGAGAAAAACATTTTTATTTTGAAATTGGATGATCAAAGGTCGATCAATTGGAGTAGTTTTTCAATCATTGAATATTTCTTACCTTTACTCAAATTGCTCACAATTCTAGACATCCTTATGTAATAAATTAACACTTTTTATTTATGAATATATTTTTACGGAATCAACTGATAAGAATTTTCTTTTCTCAAAATATTTACGAAGTGTTCGTAGTACGAACGTAAGGTAACGGTTCAAACTAGTAATGTAACGGTTCAAAATTTAATTTCGAAAATCGAACACTCACACTTCTTTAGACAAAATTCGCCTTCGAATTTCGAATGAGTTTTTCTTCAAAATATTTAATAAATAGCTTTTTATGTTGATTTATCTAAAAGTATTCGATTGTTTAAAGTTTTATAAATAGTGTATTTATCATTGCTAACACTTATCTAAGTGACAAGTTAAAATATTACAAGGAAAAAATCTTAATTCATATTGCATAGAAACGAAAAATACAGAAAAGAAAAAAAACTTTTAAAAGCGGGATTTAAACTTAAATTTTCTTATAAAAGCTTTTTAAAAAACCGTGATTATTAGAACCGATTATATTTGTTAACTTTATATTTAATGAAAATGGCGAATTAAGAGAAAAGAAGACCACATTTTTTCAATTTTCTCGCAATTAATCCATCAAGATGGAAAACAACGGCGCAGCAGCCGACAGCCCGCTCCATGAAATGCAATTGGAGCTTGAAAATGTACAAAGTGTTATTCAATTGACAAAGGAGAATATTGATACCCTCAATGAGAGATTCTCTAAATTTAAACCGTCTCCAAAAATATATTTGGAAGAGTATCAGGACCTGACCAGTAAGCTTCATCAGCTTAAAATGATGGAACAGAATTTAGTAGAGAAAATGCAATCAATTCAAGAACAAAATGAAGTAAGATGAAATGTTTTATGAGTTTAGAAGTCATTTTCTGAAGATTTTTAATCTTTCTAGATTGAAACTAGAGCACAACCCAAGCAACCAAAACTATTCCTAAGAGCTCATCTTCCAAATCAACAGCGAACATCAGTTCAAGTTGTTCCAGGTATGCGATTGAGAGATGCACTATCAAAAGCACTTAGCCGTCGTAACTTGACATTTGACATGTGTGAAGTGTATCAGTCAGACACTGACGTTCAAATTCCTTGGGACACCGACATTAGTTCGATTAATTGTGAAATTAGTGTTAGGATTCTAGATATTGTTGGCTTTCCAACATACATTTCGCATCAATTTATTCGCAAAACATTCTTCTCGTTGGCATTTTGCGAATGTTGTCGAAGATTGCTCTTCACTGGATTTTATTGCAATCAGTGTAATTATCGATTCCATCAAAGATGTGTCGATAAAGTTCCACCACTTTGCAGTAAATTACAAATGGACACATATTATCAAATGCTTTTAGCAAACACTGATAACTCATCAGGATTGTACACAGGATCGAGCCTTCACAAGTAAATTTAATTCTTTTCATTAAAATTAATTTTTTATCTCATTTTTTCTTCTTCAGACATCCAAAAACTTTAAATTTTGAGAATCGTTCAAATTCAGCTCCGAATGTTTGTGTCAATAGTGTTTTAAGGCCATTATTGGGTGGTGATCAAAAGATTCTCGCAAACGCAAAGTGCCCAATTCCCATACAAACTTATTGTGAACATTCACATTCAACTCAAGCATCGCCAACAAATACTTTAAAGCATGTTAATAGACGACAACGTGCACGATCAGCTGATGAGAGTAATAAGATTTTATCGCCACGCGAACAAATTCAAACTGGAGAAGATTGGAATATTGATGCTAGTGAGATTCTCATGGGACCGAGAATTGGTTCAGGATCATTTGGAACTGTTTACAAAGGTGAGGAAAATAACGAAAATCGTGTAATTTAATTAAATTCTTCATTTCGTGTTATTCCAGCTCATTGGCACGGACCAATTGCAGTGAAGACTTTGAATGTGAAGACACCAACGCCAGCTCAATTGCAAGCGTTTAAGAATGAAGTCGCAATGTTGAAGAAAACTCGTCATTGTAACATTTTACTTTTCATGGGATGTGTTAGTAAGCCATCGCTTGCTATTGTGACACAATGGTGTGAAGGAAGCAGTTTATATAAGCATATCCATGTAGAAGAAACAAAGTTTAAGTTAAATACTCTCATCGATATCGGAAGGCAAGTTGCACAAGGCATGGATTATCTTCATGCTAAAAGCATCATTCATCGGGATCTCAAGTCAAATAATATTTTCTTACACGATGACTTAACTGTTAAAATTGGTGATTTTGGTTTGGCAACTGCAAAAGTTCGATGGTCGGGATCGACTGGACAGAATCAACCGACGGGGTCAATTTTGTGGATGGCACCAGAAGTTATTAGAATGGATGAACAGAATCCATATTCATTTCAATCGGATGTTTATTCATTTGGAATTGTTCTCTACGAGTTGTTGACAGAACAATTGCCATATTCACATGTGAATAACAAGGATCAGATTTTATTTATGGTCGGACGTGGATTATTGCGACCAGATTTATCGAAAGTTCGTTCTGATTGCCCTCAAGCATTAAAACGATGTGCTGAAGATTGTATAAAGTTTGTTGCCTGTGAGCGTCCACTTTTCCGTCTACTTTTGAATATGTTGGAAAATATTTTAAGGACATTGCCAAAAATCCATAGAAGTGCAAGTGAACCAAATTTAACACAATCACAATTGCAAAATGACGATTTCTTATTCATGTGCTCTAGTCCAAAAACGCCAGTAAATTTTCATAACTTTCATTACAATGGATAGATTTTTAATTCACCTCTTTTTGGATTTATTCGAATGGAAAAAATGAGACGCTCATCACGAACAAGAAAAGCTTTTAAAATTTTGACACGAAATCTTTTCAAGAAAAAAGTTGTGAAGTAAATAACTAGATAATTATCTACTGAACACTGAGAAAGAAACATTTTAAATCTACATGATGATCCCACTTAAAAAAATAAAGAAATATTAAGTGTAAGTGTATGAAAAGAATCACTTAAATAATGAAGAAGAGTTTAAATACCTCCGGTGATAAAAGTATTTGAATGAAGGCTATCGAGATTATTATTTATTTTATTAAAGTGACGATAAACTTTTCACATGATATCCTTTTTATAAATGGCTAGGAGAAGGATTTCATTCAATATTTGTTGTAAATTTTATCTTCTTGAAGTATTTGCTGAAAGCAGTGATGTAAATAAAAAGAAAAATTAACATTATTCCATAAAACATGTTGTTGTTATTTTTAAAAATTTATTTTTCTTATAAAATTGAAGCTTAAGTTAAGAAGTTATAGTGATAAAGGAGAAATTATTTTCCTCCTGATGCCTGTTGGATCAGACAAATATTGTCGCCTTTTAACATGATACGACCGAGGTTTCTGCGTTTTGAGATTGTTTTGACATTGTATTCTTCAGCATCATCAAGAACGAGGTTCATGTATTCGTCGAATCCTACAATTGCTCCTTCAATTCGAAGATTTACATTCTCAAAGATCCAGACACAGACTCGTGAGCGGTTTTGAAGGTATCGGAAAATAAGGTTGATGGGTTGGACCATCACTGAAAATAAAAAATTAAAATAATTATCATCATAATAACCATTAACTTAAATATTTTACTGACCCTTCTGCACTTTTGGATTAGTTTTGTAAGACATGATGAACCTGAAATGAACATAAACAAATGTGGAAATTTTGTAATAAAATATTACTGATAAGATGATTATATTTTCTTAATAATTTTCACAAGGACTTCAATAGAAGATTGATTAGAACATACTTGATTTATATTTTTCTTCAAAGATTCTTAAATAATCTTTTTACAATTTTTTTCTTATGCCGCCGCTGTTAAACGATTCAATCTACTGGGTGTGCAAGTATTAACTCAGATTTTAGTTGTATACCCCGTTATCTTAAAAAGAAAAAAATAACAAAAATCTGTTGCGCACGAAAAAAAATTGTTTTTATGATTAAAAAAACTCAAAACATTATTTTAAAAAGTGCTAGTTATATTAAAAAACCAATGTTAAACATTTGGTAATTGATTGTTCTCGTGAAATTGCGAAACGAAGAGCAAAAAGAACAAAAGTGTTAATTTTCTAATTAAACTTTATTATAAGTTGCAAATTGATCTCAGCAAAACTCAATTAAACAAGCCTTAGTTATAATGTTAAGATTTCTGTTTCATTTATTATTATTAGTTATTATATGCACAAATTTTGTGTCATCATATGAGGTAAATTAAAGTTATTTTTCTCTTAACATATGTTAGAATATTTTTTCTTATTCATCATTTTGCCAGCATGACTACGATTTCACAGACTTTGAACGTCTTCAAGCCGCTCAGAGAATGATTGGAAAGAAGAATGAAGGACCAATTCAAGTTCCTTATTCCGCAGCTGATGTACAAAAAGCATTGCGAGAATTGAAACAAGGTAAATTACAAAAACATTTTGATAAGAATTTTATAACATGAAATATGATGTGTTTAGATTACAGTGAAGTTAGCAATTGGCCTACACCATCACGAACTCTTGGAGCTATATCTGCAGTTTCATTAGATGTCAACAAAAATGTCGTTGTCTTTCATCGCGCTGAACGTGTATGGGACTCGGGGACTTTTGATAACACAAACATCTTCCTGCATCGTAATCTCGGACCAATTCAAGATAATACAATAGTAAAATATGACCGTGAGACTGGAAATGTCATGACCGAATGGGGAAAAAATATGTTTTATTTACCTCACGGTCTGCATATAAATGGAAATTATTATTACATTACTGACGTCGCACTTCACCAAGTTTTTCGTTTCAACATACAAAATTCTACAACAAAACCGGAATTGACACTTGGAGAAGCTTTTAAACCTGGAAGATCTGCTAAACTATTTTGTAAACCGACATCAGTTGCGACTTTAGATAATGGAGACTTCTTTGTTGCTGATGGTTATTGTAACAGTAGAATAGTGAAATTTAACTTCGCTGGTGAGAAAATTTTAGAGGTAAATGAAAAACATTTCTAAATGTAAATCAAATAAATAAATAAAAAAATGTTCTACGCAGTGGGGAAAAGCAAGTTTCTCTGGGCCTGCAATGCCAGGTTACGAACCTCCCAATGCATTCGCAGTTCCACATGCTTTGACACTTGTTCCCGATAAAGGACTTCTTTGCGTTGCTGACAGAGAAAATGGTCGAGTTCAATGGTAAGGAATTCACTGCTATCGTCTTCAGATGTTATAATTATTATTTTATTCAGCTTTTCAACAGAAGAAGGAAAATATGTAATGCAGTTCCACAGCCCAATTGTTGGTGATCGACTATTCAGGTGAAACATAATTTTTTTAAAATAAATTAATTAAAAATTATAAAAATTAAAACTTCTCAGTGTTGCTTATGCAAATGGAACACTGTTTGTTGTAAATGGACCTGAATTTCGGCAAGATGTCATTGAAATTCGTGGATACACATTTAACATGAAATCTGGCGATGTGACATCAAAATTCGGCTCGTTTTTGGATCCTCATGATTTAACCGTCACATCTGATGCTAAAGAGGTAAAAAATAAAAAAATCTGTTTAAAGTTCCTACATTTTTAATATTTCTTATAATTTAACAGATTTATGTTGCTGATCTGACAGCTGATAAAAATGGTCATCGTCTTCATAAATTCATGTTAAATGGACTAAAGCCAACTAGAACATCAGGTCTGATTAATTCTAATAGTTTTTCAAATTTGTATATTTTGTAGAGTAGCATTAGAGCATGAAACTTAATATTTATTATTTATGTATGTAGATGAACATAAAGATTTTTACTTGAAGATGATTATTTTAAAATATATTTCACAGGTGACAATGGAAATTTAGTATCAAAAACAAACGTTCACAGAGGCGACACTGCATTACTAGTGGGATCAATTGTTCTTCTTTTCACCGTGTTTACAATTGGTCTTGCTATTTTAATATCGAGAAAACAAAGACGAGGTAATGAAGACAATGAATATCATTCATTGATGACAAAATAAGTTAAATATTTCAATGTAATCTCCAATTGTGCAATGAACAAATTTTATTAAGATCAGAAATTGCAAAACCGAAAAACATACAAGAATAAGCATAAAAATTATGATAAACTAAACTAATGGATTGATGTAAACTAAAAATCAATTTCAGGAAACAAATCAATATTTGAGCCATGGAATAAGACTACAAAAAACATATTCTTTGATTATAATCAGTTCGAAAAAATTCCTCAAAATGATGATTTCATACCAGAGAATCAAAATGAATTCGCTTAGGTACTTAATTAATTTAACATGCGAGTACTTAATGAAACATTCTTGATTTTCAAGGATCTTTTCTTATGATTTTTTAACCAATTTTATAAATGAGAAAAAAGATAGACATCTCACAATTTAAGATTATTCTTATCAGTATTAAATTTATGTTGAAAATGTTTAATTAAAAATCAATTAATGTTGCATATCTCATCAACTTGAAAATCAATTAGATAAATTGAGATGCCATGTCTAATTAAATTTTGTTCGTGATAAATGGCATAATTAGAATTGCATTAATAGAATAAACTTATTCTGTATCCTTCTTTAATTAAGACCTTAATTATATTTTTCGAATGAGAACTTCATCACAATTCCAACACTTTTATGTTCAAATGTTTATCTAGAGTTTCAAATTTTATTCTAAAAGAATTGAAAAAAATATTTCAATAGATGTTGTTAATAATACTACATACCTTATTATAGAAAATAAAAGGCAACTATTTTCTTTTGAAAAAGAAAAAATTAATTTTTTTCAACAGAAAAACTTTTAAGATTTGCGCAAGTTTTGAAAACACTGAAGTAAGTCGAATGTCCCAATGGACAACAAATCAGAAGCAAGTTCGAATAACTTCGAGAAGAAGAAAAGAAATGAAAACAATTTTTAAAATAATTTTTTAAAGTGCTAATAATCTAAATTTGTGAAAAGATTTATTTGTAATCTCAACATAAGTCACTGTTGTTTAGGTATCATCAAGTGATAATTTCCGAAAACCTTTTTCAGGAGTGAATTTTGAATAAAAAAGACAAGTTATAGATTGTAGAGGGCGCTTCTATGAGAGAATATTACACGAAAATTGTAATTTTATTATAAAATAGCAAACATGTTTTGAAAATCTCAAGGAAATTGTTCAAGCATAGTGATTAAAGTTGGTAACGGTTTGATAACGCATCTCCCTTGGTGGAATATTCTTTTGAAATTAGATTAAATTTTGTTCAGTGCAACCAGCCATTATACAAAAGAAAAGAAAAAAAATGTTTTATAAAAGTCGGTGCAATATCAGTGGGATGAACATGAGTAGCTCAAGATTGCTAACACTCACATTGATTTTCTCGTTTTTAATGACATGCGGAGCATTAGCCAATGATCAGGTAATATTTTATCATCTTTTCTCAATCTTATTAAGCGATGTTCTTCGCATATTCTTTTCGGAAGTTTAATCTGAGATACTGAAATGAAGCCTTCTATAAATATAAATGGAAAGATATAAACAAGAGTTCTGTCTGTATATTTTCATTTCTTTTGGTTTTCATTTCATTTAATCGCCATATAAACAAATCCATCTCCATGATAAAAATCTTTCAGTCGCTACGATCTCTCGCGTCGAATCATCAAACATTATATGGAAGGCCTTTCATTATTTCTAGCTTTATAATATTCAAAGTGTTGATGTATCATCACATTTTATTAGCATTAGCTCATCGGAGCTGTTTAATGTAAATTATTGATTTGTATTGAAAATATTTCTGCTGATAATTAAAAATACTCGGTGATTCATAACAAAGCAGAATTTATTTGAGTTTGGTTTATTTATAGTAAAAGCTTCCTGTCTTGAACCCGTGCAATTGAAACAAAAAGAATTTCGCTCTTAACCGAACTTAACACCATGTGTTTTCAATATTGTTTCGCTTTTTAATTTGGCGATAATTGCTACACCGACTTATGGTTCAAGAAGTCGTAAAGAAAATGTAAACCAAAGCAAAGCGAAGGAGAGCAAATGTCTTTATGAATGAAAGAACAAGACGTGCGATATGTATGAGCAATAGTAGCAGCAGCAGCAGCAGCAAATATACATATACATACTCTTTTCGTCGTCACACGCACAGCTCACCCGAAACTTTATTTAATGAATGTTGTTATTGAGAAATTTCATCATCACAAAGGAAATCACGTTTTTGATTGAAAAAGATTGCCGAAGGTTTTCATTCTTTCCCTTCTTATTTACCTGAAGCATTTCTCTTTCTATATTTTGTTTTTTCTTCTGTTCATTCTTCGTTCTCTCTTGTTTTTTAAGTAGAAAAAATGTATGTTCATTTTTTTATTTCATTTTAGAATCTTTTATTATTTTTCTCAGTTTTCAGAAAGCATGAAAGAATTTATCGTTGAATGATCGATTTGCGTCGTTTATTTGTAACAAAATATCAAAAGATGTTTATTGCTCAATTTAGGTGTAAATGCATGACATTTATCTTCGACATTTGCATCTCATTTTTCTTTCCCCTTTCTCTTATCACAAGACAAAGTGCTGTGAGCGTGGAAAACATTTTCATATGGCAAACCTTAAATTATTGATTATTTTACGATAATATATCTTACTTTTTCCAACAATAAAATGAAAGAAATATTTGTCGTTTTAGTTTGAAATGAAACCTGAGAAAAATTATGCAAGATCAGCTAAAGATTGTAAATAAATTCTTTGAAATGTTTTATTTAACACTGCTAAATGTCAAAGACATTGAAATTTTGCTGCGTAAAAAGTTTCAAGCTCACATTGTGAATTTAATTCTCTTTTTCTTTACAAACTCACACGACTTCCCGTCTCTCTTGACTTTTCCATCCGGACATGTTCAAAACATTTAAAGGACGAATGAATGGAAAACATTTCTCTTCATTTTCTCTCTTATCTCCATTTTTGTGGTTTTCCACAATTTTTCCTGTTTCCATGCTTCATAAATCGTTTGACTTTTTATCAAGAAGGAAGCAAAGTGAAAACTTTGAAATTTTTCATTACTATCATCAAACAACCTTGTCTGGTCATATTTATATAAATCTACAACTTGTTAAATTATTCCCTAGAATTCCAAATCGAGCTCGTTCTCAGACGCAATTGCAGAAAAACTTCAACAGAACAAACTCAACAACAGAGATATTTATATCGATAGCGATGACGAAGTCGAAGGATCTGGAAGCAGAGGCGAGGTGAGTGGATAATTTTTTTTTGCTTTTCTATTTGACATCAAATTAGCACAATTAATTACCGCCGTTTTACGTTTCAACGATATGAATCGTGAAAAAGTAAAAATAAAAACAGCAAAAAGAAAAACAACGAAATTTACCCCACCCAATGTCAATTTTAACGACCGTATCGTAATGTTCCATTTATCTTTCGACGTCATTACTTTCCTGAAACATTTCATAATTGAAATTTTATGATTTTCTCTCTTGATTCAACTTCCCTGCCCACTTGATATCTCTTTGATGTTTATTTGATTCGTTTCCTTTTTGGTGAAGCTTAAATTTAATACCAATTTGTGTGACTTGTAAATGTTTACAGATTCACGATGCATTAGAGCACGACAACGATGACATTGAATCATCAGGATCGGGATATGGTCCAACAGATGATACAGAACCTGACGAGGATATTCATAGCCGAAGTAAGATATCAAGAGTAAACAAGGAGCCGACAAACACTCATCATTCAGGTGATGGATCTGACATTCATGTCGATGAAGACGATAGCGACGATTATAATGAAAGCCATCCGGAGAGGTCACCGTTACCAATAGATGGTGACGATGACGACGTGTACTTTGATAATACCAGTAGCTCAAACTCAGTACCGTCAAGTACTGATGGCAAAATCATCTCAACTTCTACCACAGACATTGATAACAGTCAGTTTCCTTTATTTTTATTTTTATTATTTGTTTCCTTAATTAAGTTATTTTTATTACGTTCTGGTTTATTTTCGGTTGGTTTATATTTTTTGTGTATTCTTTTTATATTTAAAAAAAGAATTGGGACATACAAGTCAATATTGCAACATTTTCTTTCTGCTTATAACAACAAAAATAACTTTTAAACACGCAACACCTTAAATTAACTATATTTGACTTTCTTTTCACAAAATATTCAAGAAATGCTTTTCGTTCTTTTTATAAATAATTGATGATGATATAAACTCGAGTATTGATTTTTGTTTTCCCTTAAAAGCGTTGAATTTTAACTCATGCTAGCGTTAACGCTACTTACGAGGTCGCTCGTGAAAAATGTTTTTAAGCTTTTCCTTTTGACTTTTATTTTTATATATTTTACGATTCTTTTTTGTTATTTATGGTTTGGTTTCTTTTTCCTTGGCCTCTTATTCTTCTCCTTCTTACTTATTATTATTCGTATTCTTATTAATAAATCTCACTAACAAAAGAAACTTTTTTATAATCACTTTGTACACACACACTTTCGACTCTACGGATGAAAGATAAGATTCTGATGGTTTTCCTTATTGAAGAATTATCGAAATATTTTAACATAATAATCATGTTTCATGTTATGTCATTTTTATGTCATTCGAGTCATCATTTTTCATCCCTTTTTCATTTTTATTTTATGTGTTTGTGTTCGATTTGTCTCTCATCTATTACGATCATTTAAATTGCTTATTTTCCACTCATATTTACATATTACATCACATTTCATCATTAAATATTCTGCATGATAGTGTTTAAGGGGAAAGCTTTATGTTCTCGATTCTAATTATGTCTAACATGTTTATTTGACTTATCTCAGGTGGTTCAGACTACAATATCAATCGACAAAAGGAAATTGTTATTCCAAGATCAGAATCCATCGATCCAAATCGTCACGAGCCGATTGTACCAACCGAGACTAATTACGGGCCTGGTGGAAATGAAGTGTTGATTATGAACACAAAGAACGAAGATCGACCAACGAGCTTCTTTGCTCAACCAGGCATTTTAGCAGGTAAATTAAACGTGCATGAAATATTCATTAGTGTCATTTATAATTAATGAATGAATGTTACATAAAATTTGTTTTTTCAGCTGTTATTGGTGGTGCCGTCGTTGGATTATTGTTCGCAATTTTAGTAGTGATGTTCATTGTGTATCGAATGCGAAAAAAGGATGAAGGGTCATATGCTTTGGATGAGCCAAAGAGATCACCACAAGCCAACTCTTACACTAAGAATCATAATAATAGGGAATTCTATGCTTGAAATTCAGACAACTCACGCTTTTAAACTTAATTAACGATCAATTTACAGACAAACTGAGACAAGAAGGAATTTTATTTTTTTTTTAGTTTTTTTTTCAATTTCAAAAACTTGACGCATTATTATAAAAGAAAAACTTTTTATTTTTAAATGTTAAGAGAAATATTTACAAAAAGTGAATGATAGAACTCGCGCCTATGTAGCATTCATTGAGTGTACTGTGAGCACACATTTGTAATCTGTTTGAAGATTTAAAGTTTTTTTTCTCCTCCACCCTTTTCCGACTTTCCATCGTCGATTTTCGATATCAACATAAATTTGAAGTTATAAATTTTTGTATGATGGAAAGTGGATGGTTGATCGATATGTGTGTCGCCATGTAGTTGTTCTTTTTCCTACTTTATCTAAACAGAAAGAACATTCATAGAAAATTCTATCTAATGATAATCAACTTTAAGGAAAGAAGAAGAAAAAAATATCTCTGATGAGAGGACAATGTCATAATAGATCTAAGCTATTGTTTTAATTGGGGTAATTTTCTACTAGTTGTAATAAGAAGGTTAATGAAAAAAATATTGACTATTTGAGAAGAAAAAAAGTAAGAATTGACACAGATGAGGGTAATCTAATAAAAGTAATAAAAAAAGGAAAATATGTAATAATGAATAAACAGCATAATAATAAGATATTTGCTTGAATACATCAATTTCTATGCAAATTCGATCATAGGCTTCTTAATGATTTCTCTACAAAGTTCATAAGTAAATTAAATAATACAAAAATGGGTTTAACTTTTGATAAAACAAACAGAAAATAGACAAGATGATGAATTTTTTCTCTCTCATTTCATTATGAGATGATCCCTTTTGAATTTGGGGAAATGTATTACAGAAATGATAAGGAAAAAGGTAAACAGAGTTGTATTAAATAGTACCTTTACATAACAGATGAAAAATAAAACACAGAATGATAAGAAGCATTAGAATCAATGAATGTAATAAGAAATAAATCCACGTATACACGGTTTGTCAAAAAGTTGTATCACAATTTTCCTTAGGCATTGAAAACATAATTTTCCGGTGACAGAAGTGCTAATCAAACTTTCAAACTATTTCTTTTTATTATCTATTCAAGCAAAGAAAACAGAAGCTTTTATTTGATCAAAATTAACAAACGAAAAAGTTTTTAGTAAATAAGTTTAACATAAAAAAAGTTCTTTTATCCTTTAAGTTTATTTTATCGTAAAATGCTTTTTCTTGAAGTTTTACAAAGTTTTGAGCAGCTCACTTTTATTCAGACAAATCGTTTAAGACTGAAAGAAATTCTTTATTATCTACTTTCTAACTAACTTCTTGACTCACTTGACTCTTCAAGAAGCTTTATGATTCTTACCAACCCGTCAACATAAACGATAACACGCTTCTTCCAGATCTGCTTGATGCTTTTTAGAACCTCGAAGAAAAGAAATGACTTTATTTTATTAACTCAAAATTATTCTTTCAATCTTGTGACGCTAAGAAAAGAATGATTAATTATAGTTGAGGGAAAATATTGCTCGAGCGTTAGTTATCAATAAGAAAAGAATTAAAAACTAAAACAAAAGCCATTCGCCGTTAATACGTATCTCAAAAGAAATTTCCTCTTATGCTTGTCAGTCGTTCTTGATTGCGCCTTTCTTTCAGTGCCATCAAAAGTAATTTACTTTTCATGACATTCCAAAATGCATTTTTGAAGTTATAAAAGAAACAAACACGAAACATTCGAAAGTGAAAATTTTGGAATTCAAAACATTCTTTTTTTATTTAATTTCATCTTTCTTTAAAGTTTCAATGCAGCTTTCATCATGCAGCACATCAACGAGATGTGCTTGATCTGAATTTTTAATTTTAATCAAACAAGCATATAGTTCAACACGAAAAGAATTCACTAAACTCTGATTTTCCGTTTTTGTAAAGAGAAAAACAAATTGAAAAACATGAAAGAAACAAAAAAGAAAATTCGTTGTACATATTGATGAGAAAAACCTAAATAAACTCACTAAAAATTAATGAAAATTGTTTGTTTTAATCTTCGTTTAAAATTGGAAATTTTATTTGAAATGATTTTTTAAACAGGTTCATCGTTGTTCAGTGTCACGTTAATTTAATGTTTCTTCTTTCTAAATAATTTAATTCCACCATTTTTCTTCTTCTGCTTTTCCGATGATAATAAACTCTTGACAGTTTCAATTGAATTTGTTTCAAACTTCACCAAGTCATTAGAAGAGCTTATTGGAAACTTTAAGCTTTCAATGTTGTTTGGAACTATCTCCATTGCCAATAACTTTCCTAGTGCCAATTTTTTTTGTTTCATCATTAAATTCGATTGCTTTTGAAACTGGTTGGTTCTTAATTCACTTTCACTGTAAAAATTATTAAAATCAAAGTTTAATATTTTTAATCATTCGAAATTTACTTACGAATCGTCATCAGAATCATCAAGAATTCCAATATCGTCAGCTGCTTTTTTCTTCCAGTTTCTGTTGTCATTTTGACGACGAACTTGTAAGTCAAGTGCTTCAATTTCTCTAGCAAGACGAACTCTATCGCGGACATTTTTCATGATTCTTGGGTCGATTGGGAAAATTGGCAAATCTTCATCTGAAAAGATAATGAAATGAAAGTTTAATAAAAAGTTACGATGGAAATGTCAAAATTTTATTTACTTCTCCCAAGAGTTTTCTGAAGTTTCACGAAGAATTTCACTTCACCAGGTTCAATTAAAAGTATTGATAATCCTTCTTTATCAGCACGAGCTGTTCGTCCCGATCGATGGACATAATCTTCGCCTGTTGTTGGCACTTGGTAATGAATGACGTGTTGAATGTTTGGAATGTCCAAACCTCTTGCTGCGACTTGAGTCGACAACAAAATGCTATTTTCATCCTTTTGAAACTTTTCAAGACTTTTAAGTCGATGTTTTTGTTCCATTTTTCCATGTAAAACAATTGGCGTGATGTTAAGATGTGAAAGAACTGAAGAATTTCTTTTGACACACTCAATTGAGTTACAAAACACAATCGTTCGACCAGGATAATTTACGAGAATATAATAAAGATAAAAATCTTTCTCATCCAAAGAACACAAAATTCTCGCTTCAAAAAGCTTTTCAGCGACTCCACTTTGACTCGAAATATCAAAAACTTTCGGGTTCTTCATCCCAAACATTGAAATGAAGTCATTCAAACGTTGATCTTTCGAAGCTTTCAATGATTTTTGTTTTTTCTTCTTTCTCAAATATTCAGGAAGTTCATGGACCATTGTGAGAGTTGCAGAGAAAACAAAATTTTGTCGCTTTTGTGTGTCATCAGAAGAATTAAGCATTTGTAGAATTTCTTGAAGTTCTGCAAAATGACCTTTTTCAATCATTCTGTCAGTTTCATCAACTACAAAATATTTCAACGTCTTCAATTTCTGTAAATGTTCATTTCCATCTTGAATCAATTCCCAAACTCGTCCAGGTGTTCCAATCACAATGTGAGGATTTGATTTTAAAATTCGTTCTTGTTTCACTGTTGCTAATCCTCCAATAATACAAGCAATTGTAACGTTTGTGTATTTCGCAATTGCTTTCAAGTGTTTGTGAATTTGTTGAGCCAGCTCACGAGTTGGAGTTAAGATAATAGAGAAAAGTTCATCAGATTCCTCTTCATTGTCACTAAGAATCCTTTGTATACTTTGAACTATTGGAATCCCAAATGCTGAAATAATTTTCTAAACTTTTTACAATGTTTTTTAATTTAAAAAAATCCCACCTAAAGTTTTACCACTTCCTGTTGGTGCTGCACCGAGAATATCACATTTACCATAAACAGAAACCGGAATTGAAACTCGTTGAATCTCTGTGGGATTTGTGAAGTTCATTTCGGTAAGAGATTTTATTATTTCATCAGATAAAACTCCAATTTCATTCCAGACCTGTTAAAGGAGAAGAAAGCTTATTTTTATTTTCTTTTGATTTGAATAACACTTACATTTCTAATTTCAGAGTTCTCTTCAACGTTTTCTTCATTTGAAGGCTTAAGAAGAACAAACTTTCCAGGAAAATGTTCATTGTCATTGATTTCTTCAGCATGTTTCTTCTTGTTCGCTTTTTTCTTTGGCGGTGCCTTTTCGAGAGTTATTTCTTCATCATCAGAATCGTGCTTTCTCTTACGAATATCAAAAACGTCTCCATCTAATTCACTTGATGAAAACTCCTGTAAATGTCAACAAAAGACAAACTTTAGTTTTTTTCCAACAGAATGAACATTTCAGTCTTCACCAGATTTTGTTTTGAATTTCGCAAGAAAGACGAATCATAATTCTCCAAGACTTCTAAACCAGCAAAACCATCAAAATCTCCAGCTTCACCTATAAGGTTTCCAGATATCTCTACAGGCTTCCATTTCGATGAACTTATTTTTTTCACGGTTTGTTTATTTTTTACCATGCTGCTTTATTTTGTTTTCACTTATGAAGGCGGACAACAGGACAAAATCTGCTTTCGTTAAATATGTCATCGTTAAGTTTTCAAATTTTTTGCAGTTAAAAAAGTGTGACTTTTAAAAATGTATCTGTTTCAATATTTATTTATATTAGGTACCTAAATTATAATTTTTATCATTACGAGGTGAAATAAACGGCAGTGAAGCATTAAATAACTGAAAAACGATATTTTCATTCCATGCAATAGTTTTTTTTATTATAAAGAACGATCAAGTTAATGTAAAAAGTCAAGTCGTAAAATGATCAACTTGACTTAACACACACTTTCATATCAATAACAACATTATCGAGCTTTATAATCTTCACTTTGATTATTTTTCCATTCACGATGTAAATAATGTTATCACTTAAAATATCATTTCAGTCTTCGTACGTTCATTCCAAAGAAAAGTTTGTTCGTCGTTTATTCTTGCCTTAAGTTTCAAAGAAAAACATAAAACTTGAAATGAATTCAGATTTGATAGAAGAGAGAAAGAAAGTTGCTTTCAACATTGAAGAATTCACAAACTGGTATTATGGTGGTGCTGAAAAAGTTACAGAGCAGAAGTTTTTTGGTAAGAATATTTACCTAATTATTATTCTATGGCTTCAATACCGAAATGAACTTTGAACTTGTATAGAAAATTATTTTTTAAATGACCCCGAGTTGAGAGACAATATTGCCACCAGCTATTTAAGTCATCAAGAACTTTATGAAGAATCAATTAGAAAGGCAACTGTGGTACTTAAAAAGCTTAAACATCTTCGAAATCAAGGGTACAATGACAAAGATTTGTATAGGTGAAGAAAAGCAAAATTTAATAACTCAAACTCTTAACTTGTTTTAAGATAAGATTTATGATAAGATTTGTTAATAATTTTATTCAGCAAAATACTCGGTGGAACTTTCCAAAAATACATATTCAGAGAAGGAAATCCTTTAAGTGTTCATTTTGACATGTTTATACCAGCTATAAAAAATATGGCAACTCTAGAACAACAAGCTGAATGGTTACCGAAGGCTGAAATTTGCAACATGATTGGAGCTTATGCCCAGACCGAATTAGGTAATTAACATCTTATCTTTAATTTCTAATCATTTCTTGCTTCGTGGGAATATTTGCAATTGAACGTTAGGTCATGGAACGTTTGTTCGAGGCTTAGAGACAACTGCTATTTTTGATCAAAGATGTCAACAATTTGTCATCAACTCACCAACGATCACGGCTTACAAGGTATGAAGATACTTGAATTTTCTTCCATATCTTTATTATAAACTTATTTAATCTTTGATTCAAGTGGTGGCCTGGCGGTCTTGGTCATACAGCAAACTATGCTCTAGTGTTTGCTCAACTTTACACTCAACAAAAGAATCATGGAGTTCATGCTTTCCTTGTTCAGTTGAGAGACGAAGAAACGCACAAGCCATTGAAAGGAATCACTATTGGAGAAATTGGTACAAAAGTTGGATTTAATTCCGTCAACAATGGCTATCTTGGTTTCAAGAATGTTCGGATTCCATTGAAGAACATGTTGATGAAGAACGCAAAAGTTCTTCCCAATGGACAGTACAAGAAGTCGCAAAGTGCTTTACTTAATTATGGAACGATGACTTACATTCGTGTAGGGATTGTTATAGAAGCTGCCAGTTTCATGGCTAATGCAGCGACAATTGCCATGAGATATTCATTGGTTCGTCGTCAAAGTCCAATCGAACCTGACCAACCAGAACCGAAGATCATCGAACACGTCACACAACAAATGAAAATCTTTCCAGTCATTGCTAAAACTATAATCTTTAAACAAGCTGCGGAATTTTTATGGGGCATGTTCAATGATGTTTCTAAGGAATTAGAGAAAGGTGACTTGTCGAGACTTCCTGAACTTCACGCACTTTCTTGTTGTTTGAAAGCTATTTGTTCAAATGAAGCGACACAAGCAATTGAAGTCTGTCGCTTGGCTTGTGGTGGTCACGGATATTTAACATCTTCTGGGTTTAACAACATGTACAAGATGGTCACATCAGCACAAACTTATGAAGGTGAAAATACGGTATTACTTCTACAAACAGCAAGATTCTTAATAAAATCATGGGGACAAGCATTAAAAGGTGAAAAGTTGACACCAACAGTTGAGTATTTGAAGCATTTCGTCTCTAGAAGTGGAGAGACAGTAGCCTGGGATGGATCACCGAATGGAATAATTCGAGCATTCCAATCAGCAACTGCTGGAAAAGTTGCATTGGCATACAAACATATCGAAGAAAGAAAGAAATTTCTCTCACCAGAAGAAGCTGTTAATCAAACTGGAATTGAATTAACGAAAGCAGCTGAACTTCATTGTCAATTGTTTCTTCTTCAATCAGCTTCGACATCAATTAATCAAGCAATTAAAAAATTATCACCAGCGTTGGCTTTTGTATTGCGTGATATTCTGGAACTTTATGCTGTTGATCTTGCAATAAAATCACTTGAAAGTCTTTTGCAGTTTGTTACCGCAACATCAGAAGACATTGATCGATTGCAAGTTCGTTTAGAAGCGGCACTCAAGAGATTCAGAACAAATGCCATTGGAATCGTTGACGGATTTGAGATTTCCGATCTTGTTCTTGGATCAACACTTGGTGCTTACGATGGCAACGTCTATGAAAGATTGTTAAATGAAGCAAAAAAGTCGCCATTGAATCAAGAAGATGTCAACAAATCTTTTTATTTATATTTGAAGCCATTTATGAAATCTAATTTGTAATTATAAATTGCATTAGTAAGTTATGTTGGTGTTGTAATATTTTTATAAATTTATAATAAATCAAGATTTAAACTTTATGGTTTTCCCTCTGTGATAACGAGATGAAATTTGTGGAGGTACAATAAATAAACTTGAGTGTTTTCATGTCTAAATAGCTGAGTCAAGTAAAGAAGATAAGATTAAACTTCATTGGTGTTTGTTTCACATCGAAACAACGTTCGCTGAAGTTTGTTCCACAATTCTTAGTCAAGTTGCCGTGAAACCGACAAGAGAAACAAAATATTGTCGTTTTTATAATTTTCTTTAAAAATGACAAGCAAAGTTTATGTGAATCCTGATTTGAAGGAAGAACGGGATAAAGTAATTTTCAATGTTGAAGAATTTACAAATTGGTTTCACGGTGGATCTGACAAAGTCAAAGAGAAAAGATTCTTAGGTGAAGTAACAAAATTTTATGCTTTCGTAAACATATTTCAATGATTTCTCTAGAAAATTATGTTCTCTCCGATCCTCAACTACAAAGTGATGTTGACAGCAGTTACTTAAGTCACAAAGAGAAATATGAAGAAGCAATAAGACGAGTTGTAGTTGTTTTAAGAAGACTTGAAAAGTTGCAGTCCGAAGGTCACCAAATAAATGATCTTTATGTGTAAGCAAGAAGATAAGGTTTCATATTTATTTTGTTGAAGTAATAAATTCATGTTTAGAAAAGTTCTTGGTGGTTTGCCTGTCACCAATGTTCTTAAAGAAGGTCATCCATTAGGTAATAAAATTTGTCAGATCTCGTCAGAAGTTCCCAATCATTCTAGTTTAAATCTCTCATTCCAGTTACCCACATGGGGATGTTCATTCAAAGCATTGATCTTCTGGGAAATGAAGAACAAAAGGCTGAATGGTATGAAAAGGCATCAAGATGTAAGATACTTGGGACGTATGTCCAGACGGAAATGGGACACGGAACATTTGTTCGAGGTATTGAAACAACCGCAACGTATGATCCGAAGACGAAAGAATTTGTCATTAATTCGCCTTCAATCAGAGCTTATAAGTGGTGGCCTGGTGGTCTTGGTCACACTGTCAATCATGCAGTTGTCTTTGCACAACTTTATTCGCTTGGGAAGCATCATGGACTTCAACCTTTCATGGTACAAATCAGAGATTACGAGACTCACATGCCAATGAAGGGAATTATAATTGGAGAGCTTGGAAACAAAGTTGGATACAATGCAGTCAACAACGGGTTTCTTGGATTTAATAACGTTCGAATTCCACTCAAGAACATGATGATGAAGAACGCAAAAGTTCTTGAAAATGGTGAATTCATGAAGACCAATAGTCCCATTCTCACTTATCTTGTGATGACACAAACACGTGTTGGAATTGTTCGAGGCATGGCAGAATATTTGATGAAAGCTTCGACAATTGCCATGAGATACTCACTGGTTCGTCGACAAAGTCCAATTGATCCCAACTCGCCAGAACCAAAGATCATCGAACATGTCACACAACAAATGAAAATCTTTCCATCAATTGCTAAAGTGTTTGCAATCAAATATGCTGCTGATAATCTCATTGATTTGTACTATGAAGTTTCAGCTGACATGAAGAATGGAAATTTGTCGAGACTTCCTGAACTTCATGCACTTTCATGTTGTTTGAAAGCTGTTTGTACTGATGAAGCTGCAAGAACTGTTCAGATTTGTCGTCTTGCTTGTGGTGGTCATGGATATTTGAATTCATCTGGTTTTAATGACATTTACGGTAACATTGTAGCTGCCCAACATTATGAAGGCGAGAACACAATAATGAACTTACAAACAGCAAGGTTTTTAATGAAAGTCTGGAAACAAGCTTTGAACAACGAAGAATTAACTCCAAATCTTCAGTATATGAAGAACTTTATTCAAAATAAAGGAAGACGAAGTCACTGGGATGAATCAGTCGATGGAATTATTCGAGCTTTTCAATCAGCGACTGCAGGAAAAGTTTCGTTGGCGTATAAACACATTGAAGAAAGGAAGAAATTCTGTTCAATTGAACAAGCAACAAGTCAAACTGGCATTGAACTTGCGAAAGCTGCTGAACTTTATTGTCAACTTTTCATGCTTCAATCACTTGCAAATTCCATTAAAAATGGAGTCAGACAAGTTTCACCAGCTTTAGGGAATGTCTTAAAGAATATTTTGGAGTTGTATGCTGTTGATCTAGCAATTAAATCACTTGAAAGTCTTCTACAGGTAGGAATTAATTTTCATTATCTCAATTATGCTTTAACTAATTTTAAATTCTCAGTTTGTGGACATTTCGTCAGCTGACATTGAACGACTTCAAAATAAATTAGAATCAGCTTTGAAGGCATTTAAAATAAATGCAATTGGAATTGTTGATGGTTTTGATATTCCCGACACGGTTCTTGGATCAACTCTTGGTGCTTATGATGGTGACGTCTACAAGCGCTTACTTGAACAAGCAAAAAAGTCGCCACTGAATCAAGAAGATGTCAACAAATCTTTCCACTTATATTTGAAGCCATTCATGAAATCAAACATGTAATCAAAAAAATTTCAATTTCTTATCAACAAAATAATCTTAATGGTGAAGGAATGTTAAAAATAAAAAAAAAGATAAGAATAAGATTGCTGACATAAATAAATAAAATTGTCTAATCTTAATGATAAGATAAATTTTAATTTAATCTTTTTTTTGTAAATATTTATTTATAAAAAACAAATGCCAGTGATAATGAAATTTTGTATGTTAGTCAGTGTGGGACCAACTAGACGACAAGACGTGATTTAATTCAATCTAATAAATTCATAATGAACGATCAAAATAAAGTTAACCAAGATTTAGAAGACGAACGAAGGAAAATTTCTTTCAAAGTTGAGGATTTCACAAAATGGTATTATGGAGGTGATGAAAATGTCGATGAAAAGAAATTTTTGGGTAAAATAAAAATATTTCAAAAATTTAAAAAAAATTATTAAGAATGTTTTTAAGAAAATATTTATCAACCAATTTTCGAACTTAATAATTCAATTGACATGAGCTACATGAGTCACAAGGAGAAATATGAAGAAGCAATTCGTAGAGCAACAATTGTCTTGAAGAAAGTCAAAGAGATTCAAGCGCAAGGTCAGAGAGGCAAAGACCTTTACAAGTGAGATAACCTCCTGCGAATTATTATCAGTGATTATGAGAATTTATTGATTTTAGTAAAGTGTTTGGGAATTTAGGAATTACTAGCATTTTTAGAGAGGGAAGCCCGATAGGTAATGAATTTTTTGCTACTTAGCCATCAGGAAAATCTTAAATTTCCTTCTGCACAAATATGTGAACAAACGTTTAAATGAAAAAACTTATTTTTTAAGGACTGCACTTCAGCATGTTTTTACCGGCATTAAGGAAACTTGCAACAGTAGAACAACAAGCTGAATGGATTTCCAGAGCATGGAATTTGAGTATTATTGGGACCTATGCGCAGACGGAAATGGGACATGGGACGTTCATTAGAGGCTTGGAAACAACTGCAACATACGACACCAGCACGAAGGAATTTGTGCTTCATTCACCGACTATCACTGCTTACAAATGGTGGCCTGGAAGTCTCGGCCATACAGCGAACTACGCAATCGTCTTTGCCCAACTTTATACACTTGGAAAGCATCATGGACTTCAACCTTTCATTGTTCAGTTGAGAGATGAAGAAACTCACAAACCAATGAAGGGAATTACGATTGGAGAACTTGGCAACAAAGTTGGATTCAACACTGTCAACAACGGTTTCTTAGGATTCGATCACGTTCGAATTCCATTGAAGAACATGTTGATGAAGAACGCAAAAGTTTTAGACAACGGAGAGTTCATACGGCAAAAGAGTTCAATTTTGACTTACGGTGCAATGACTCTTGTACGGGTCCGCATCGTCAAAGATCAAGCTTTTTATTTATCAAAGGCTGTGACAGTTGCCATGAGATATGCGCTCGTAAGACACCAAAGTCCAATCGAACCTGATCAACCAGAACCAAAAATCATCGAACATGTCACGCAACAAATGAAAATCTTTCCGTCCATCACCAAAACCATTGTGATGCAAATTGCTGCAGACAGCTTGAATCAAATGTATTTGGAAGTTAATCTAGAAGTTGAGAAAGGTGACTTGTCAAGACTTCCTGAACTTCACGCACTTTCTTGTTGCCTCAAAGCAGTTTGTTCGAATGAAACAGTTCAAGCAGTTGAAGTTTGTCGTCTTGCTTGTGGTGGTCATGGATATTTGAATTCTTCTGGTTTTAATGACGTATTTAAAATGGTCACATCAGCACAAACGTATGAAGGAGAAAACACGGTGTTGCTTCTGCAAACAGCAAGATTCTTAATAAAAGCTTATGATCAGGCAGTTAAAGGTGGCAGGGTAACACCATCTGTTTCTTATTTAACGAATTATGTCTCAGGGAGCAACAGCACAATAGAATGGAATGACTTGTCACCTGAGGGAATGCTTCGTGCATTGGAAATTGCAGCTGCTGGGAAGATTGCGTTGGCATACAAACATGTGGAGATGAGAAAGAAATTCTGTTCAGCAGAAGAAGCAGCAAATCAAACTGGCATTGAACTCACGAAAGCAGCGGAACTTCATTGTCAAGTTTTCCTGTTGAAATCTGCCATCACATCGTTGTCTGGTGCTGGTCGTTCTACACCAGCATTGGCATTGGTGCTCAAAGATGTTTTGGAATTATTTTCAGTTGACTTAGCTGTGCGACTACTTGGAAATTTGCTTCAGGTAAGTGCAAAATGTCAGACACTTAGAAGTGAATTAAATTAACTTTTCTCACCCTCAAATCAGTTTGTTAACATCAAATCAGAAAACATCGAAAAACTTCACTCAATGTTGGAAAGTTCATTGAAGAAATTGAGATTCAACGCCATTGGAATTGTTGACGGTTTTGACATTCCTGACTTCGTTCTTGGATCAACACTTGGAGCCTACGATGGCAACGTCTATGAACGATTACTGAGTGAAGCAAAGAAGTCGCCATTGAACCAAGAAGATGTCAACAAATCTTTCCACTTGTACTTAAAACCTTTCATGAAATCAAATTTGTGATTTATTAACTGATGATTATCATGTTCAGATAACTTTGTGGTGTTGGTTGTAATAAAATGTTTGGAACATAATTTAAAGTAAAATAGAATAATTTTATGAATTAAATTTTTCCTTCGGACAACAATTCAGAAGTCGCATTAAAATGCATTTGTAGTAGCTGCAACAAAATTATTGGTATTAAAATAAATATTTACCAAGAGACTTTTCTCATTTGAACATTAATTTCAGTTTATCTATTCACTTGAAGTTGAAAAGACTACAGAAATGTAAATTTGAGTTTCTATCTCTAAAATCGAGAACATTAATGTTGAGAACACAGTTGGGATTAAATTGGCATATATCATCATTCGATTGGTGTTCGGTTTTATGCTTCCAGCCTTTCCTAAATTCAAATATTTATCTATGACTATGACTAAAAACATTTCATGTACTATAAAGAACATTCGTGCGTGTTGAGATGAATTTTCTCTTGTGTTAATGCCACGTGCTTCTGAATAATTTTCTCTCGACGCTATTTCTCTTGCAACCGGCAAAAGCATTTTCTCCTTTCAACAATATAACGAAAGCTTTCGAGAGAGAGCTTTGAAAGCTTCTTTTTATGCAAGAGAAAACAATACATAGAGCTCTCTTCGCTAGAATAATTTTCTTCACATCTCGTAAATTTCATTCTTACGACGAGTGTGTAACTGTCCAGACGGGATAAAATAAAATTAGTTCAAATGTTCTTACTGAAGTTGTTACAAAAAGTGAACAACAAATATTTTGAATGCTTCAGTTCTAATAACTAACATCGAGAACACGAGGTAGTGAATGTAACAATTTAATTAAAGTTTCTTGTTTATGTCGTCGAGAGCATTTATAAATGATGTTAAAGTTTAATCGATAAAACTAATAAATGTTATTGCAAATTACAATTGAGATTGCAATCATGAATTAATAATTCGGTTGCAGCCACAATTTTGACACAGTTACGTGAAACATAAAAAATTAAATATTAAACTTCTATAATCATAACTGGAGAATAAAAAAAACTATAAATGACACAAGCATAAATAATTTCTCATGACAACAGTGACAAGTTAGAGGAAGTTTATGATAAAAATCCTTCTCATTCATTCTTATACAGAATTAAAAAAATTATCAAAAAAAAAAATTATTCGAGACTCTATAATTAAAATCATGTTTTATCTCACAGTTTTCATTTTATTTTGTGTGTTTTTAGTTGCAAGACAATTCTCAGCTTGAGCAAACAAATTGTGCATTATAGTTTATCGTCGACAGAAGCAGATGAAAGCACAGTTTTATCGGAAGAAGACTCTTCCAGTTTCTTATGATTTACGAGTAACGTCTGAAGCGAAGATTTAGATAGCTTGGTACATGCATATCGAGATTTCCAAAGAAAAGAATTTTGGAGACCTTCAAAAAAGCCAAAATCATCGCTAAATAAATTTTCATTGTCATTTATGTTCTTGAAAATTTCTCAATAAGTAAATAAACGAACATGACAAATTTATTTACGCGGAAATTTCTCCAATATAAATTTTAATTATCTAAGCTTTATACTATTTAATGAATTTTATTAAATCATTAATCAAGACATGACTTACGACTCGTCCACAAGGAATCAAAAAGGAATTTTCAATTCAACCAACATAAATAACAATCGATGAGTTTGTGAAATATTTTGTTGAAAAATAAAATTGTTTTAAGGCGAAAATGGAGAAATTGATTTCGTTGAAAGCAACAGAAATATAAAAAAAACCCTTGAGATGGTGTGTAACTTGAAGCTGCAAACCAAATATCTTTATATAAAATTTATTTCCAAAGTGCTTCTTGTATTTATGTATAATCTTGCCTGCCGATTTTTCTCATGTCCATCGAGGCTTCAATCTGAATCAAAAATTTTTATTTTCGGTGTTATCCTAAGAGGATAAAAATATTGTTGGGCAAACAAAACATATTTCAACCGATTTCAATTTATCGAATAACATGCATCACGATTTTTTGCTCGATAGAATGGCGAGTGAAAAAATAAATTGAAAAATTATTTAATAAATTGAATTTCTCCTTGACGAAGTTCAGCTTCTGTTGCAATTTTTTTTATCTCTTCCTGTCTTTCTAAACATTATGTTGCAAAAGATTTATGAGAATCGATGGTGATTTGATATTATTCCCTCAGGATATTTAAAAAGACCATGGAAGAATTTTTATGATAAGAACTTTATCTGACAGTTAAAATAATTTATGACGAAACAATAGTAAAGCAACATAAATATCAGAAAACTGAAAAGTCTTCACTTTTTCCTTCCAGACAAAAATAATAAGAAAACATTTCATAAACATAAAGTTGAACAAGATCATAACATGAGCAGTTTAACTCAGAAAAAATTAATTAATTGAATCAGAAACTGGGAAGTGCAAGTAAGAGAAAGAGAAAAACTTTTTATTGTGCTTAAGGGAATCTGGAATCTTAATAGTGCCATCAGTGAAGTAAGCAGTAGTCATGAAGGAANACGCACTTTCTTGTTGTTTGAAAGCTGTTTGTACAAAGGAAACTTCGTTCGGGGTAGAAGTTTGTCGTCTTGCTTGTGGTGGTCATGGATATTTGAATTCTTCTGGTTTTAACATCATTTATAGAAATGCTACAGCAGCACAAACTTATGAGGGTGAGAACACTGTGTTGCTTCTGCAAACAGCAAGATATTTGATTAAAGCTTATGGACAAGTTTTGAATGGTGAGAAATTACCACCAACAGTTGAATATTTGAAAGTTTTCGACACAAATACCAAATATCAATGGAACGACTTGTCACCTGAAGGAATTCTTCGTGCATTAGAAATTACAGCTGCTGGAAAGATTGCGTTGGCATACAAGCATGTGGAGATGAGAAAGAAATTCTGTTCAGCAGAAGAAGCAGCAAATCAAACTGGCATTGAACTCACGAAAGCAGCGGAACTTCATTGTCAAGTTTTCCTGTTGAAATCTGCCATCACATCGTTGTCTGGTGCTGGTCGTTCTACACCAGCATTGGCATTGGTGCTCAAAGATGTTTTGGAATTATTTTCAGTTGACTTAGCTGTGCGATTACTTGGAAATTTGCTTCAGGTAAGTGCAAAATGTCAGCAGCTTTGAAGTGAATTAAATCAACTTTTCCCACCCTCAAATCAGTTTGTTAACATCAAATCAGAAAACATCGAAAAACTTCACTCAATGTTGGAAAGTTCATTGAAGAAATTGAGATTCAACGCCATTGGAATTGTTGATGGTTTTGACATTCCTGACTTCGTTCTTGGATCAACACTTGGAGCCTACGATGGCAACGTCTATGAACGATTACTGAGTGAAGCAAAGAAGTCGCCATTGAACCAAGAAGATGTCAACAAATCTTTCCACTTGTACTTAAAACCTTTTATGAAATCAAATTTGTGATAATGTGAATTCAAATTTATTTACGAAAGTTGTGAGAAGGTCACAAAAATTTTGCATTTCTTTATGAGAATGTTCAGGTTTTAGTAGAACGGTTTGGTTAATTTCCTAATAACAACGCTTTTAAGTTGAAGTTGAAATTGTTGATGAAAAATTAAATAAATAAAGTGATAAAGCGTATTTAAAGAGTTTTTTGGTGCTTCATCTTATCTTATCACAAGACAGTTTAATAACAAGTTCAATATTAATTCAGTCTTTAATCGTTTCAAGTCAGAACAAAACACAAAACCTTCTTTGCGAATTAAAATGAATAGAAACATGAAAGTGAACCCAGATTTGCAGGAAGAACGTGACAAGATTTCATTCAAAGTTCAAGACTTCACAAATTGGTATTATGGAGGCGAAGAAAGCGTGAAGGAAAAGAAGACAATCGGTTTGATTAAAATTACCACTTTCAATGTTACATTAAATTAATTAACATAATTGTTCTTTAAGAAAATCTCTTCTTTTCGAAGCCCGAACTTCAAATCAATAATGACATGAGTTACATGAGTCACAAAGAAAAATATGAAGAAGCCATTCGTAGAACAGTTTTGTTATTGAAAACAATAAAAGAACTTCAATCGGAAGGTCAAACAAATATCTTCAAGTAAGAAGAAGAATTTCATTTACATTTTGAATCAAAAATTGTTTAACGTTTGGAAATATTTCATCAGTAAGAGATTTGGTTGGGACACGTTTGATAGTTTTATTAAAGAAGGAAGTCCAATAGGTGAATTTGCTTTAGTTAAATAATTTTGTAAATTTGATTTGTTCTTGTTAATTTAATAGCATTGCATTATGGAGTTTTTATTCCGGCGTTGAAGAAACTTGGAACAGAAGATCAGCAAGCTGAATGGATTTCCAGAGCATGGAATTTGAGTATTATTGGGACCTATGCGCAGACGGAAATGGGACATGGGACGTTCATTAGAGGCTTGGAAACAACTGCAACATACGACACCAGCACGAAGGAATTTGTGCTTCATTCGCCGACTATCACTGCTTATAAGGTGATTTGAAATTATTTTAAATTTCTGTGACATTACTAAACAAATTCTTCTAAGTGGTGGCCTGGAAGTCTCGGCCATACAGCGAACTACGCAATCGTCTTTGCCCAACTTTATACACTTGGAAAGCATCACGGAATCCAACCTTTCATCGTTCAGTTGAGAGATGAAGAAACTCACAAACCATTGAAAGGAATCACGATCGGAGATATTGGCAACAAAATTGGACTTAATACAATCGACAACGGTTTCTTAGGCTTCGACCACGTTCGAATTCCGTTGAAGAACATGTTGATGAAGAACGCAAAGATCATTGAAAGTGGGGAATTTATCAGACAAAAAAGTTCAGTTTTAAATTATGGAACGATGACTCTTCTCAGAGTTGGAATTGTGAAGGAACAATCAATTTTCCTTTCGAAAGCTGTGACGATTGCTATGAGATATGCACTGGTTCGTCGTCAAAGTCCAATCGAACCTGACCAACCAGAACCAAAGATCATCGAACACGTGACACAACAAATGAAAATCTTTCCTGAAATCGCCAAAGTTCTCGCTATTAAATCTGCTGCTGATAATTTAAATGAAATGTACGTGGAAGTCACTTCCGATATGGAGAAAGGAAATCTTTTCAGACTTTCAGAACTTCACGCACTTTCTTGTTGTTTGAAAGCTGTTTGTACAAAGGAAACTTCGTTCGGGGTAGAAGTTTGTCGTCTTGCTTGTGGTGGTCATGGATATTTGAATTCTTCTGGTTTTAACATCATTTATAGAAATGCTACAGCAGCACAAACTTATGAGGGTGAGAACACTGTGTTGCTTCTGCAAACAGCAAGATATTTGATTAAAGCTTATGGACAAGTTTTGAATGGTGAGAAATTACCACCAACAGTTGAATATTTGAAAGTTTCCGACACAAATACAAAATATCAATGGAACGACTTGTCACCTGAAGGAATTCTTCGTGCATTGGAAATCGCAGCTGCTGGAAAGATTGCGTTGGCATACAAACATGTGGAGATAAGAAAGAAATTCTGTTCAGCAGAAGAAGCAGCAAATCAAACTGGCATTGAACTCACGAAAGCAGCGGAACTTCATTGTCAAGTTTTCCTGTTGAAATCTGCCATCACATCGTTGTCTGGTGCTGGTCGTTCTACACCAGCATTGGCATTGGTGCTCAAAGATGTTTTGGAATTATTTTCAGTTGACTTAGCTGTGCGATTACTTGGAAATTTGCTTCAGGTAAGTGCAAAATGTCAGCAGCTTTGAAGTGAATTAAATTAACTTTTCCCACCCTCAAATCAGTTTGTTAACATCAAATCAGAAAACATCGAAAAACTTCACTCAATGTTGGAAAGTTCATTGAAGAAATTGAGATTCAACGCCATTGGAATTGTTGATGGTTTTGACATTCCTGACTTCGTTCTTGGATCAACACTTGGAGCCTACGATGGCAACGTCTATGAGCGATTATTGAGTGAAGCAAAGAAGTCGCCATTGAACCAAGAAGATGTCAACAAATCTTTCCACTTGTACTTAAAACCTTTCATGAAATCAAATTTGTGATTAAATAATCGAGAGGATAAAATTTTGGGGTTTTTGGTATGACGTCGTTGATGATGCTGATCAGTTTGCTTGTGGTTTGTTACCCGGTGCATGATGTTTTTGAATTAAAAATAATAAAGTTAAGTTGATGATAATGTTTTTAAGTGTTTTTATCAAATAAATTCGAACATGTGTAAAGCGGTTTTGTGTAGCAACGAAAAGATAATTTTACCAACATTAATACAATCACATGTTATGATTCGTTGAGGTTCATTCATCGAATGTTCACTTACCATACATTCAAAAATCTTTTTTTATTCATTTAGTTTCGCTTTGCTTGTTCTCTTTACAAGACATAAATTTGGAATTCTCTCAAGAAAATATTTAAAAATGAGTAGCACCACGAAAGTTAACCGAGATTTGCAAGATGAAAGAGAGAAAGTCACGTTTAATGTTGAGGAATTCACAAATTGGTATCACGGAGGTGCACAGAATGTCAAAGATAAGAAGTCGATTGGTAGGCTTAATTAAATTTTTTGCCCATTGATAAACCTTTTGATTTTGATAATAAATTTAAGAAAATTTTTTCCTGTCGGATCCTGAACTTCACGACACCATTGACATGAGTTACATGAGCCACAAAGAGAAATATGAAGAAGCAATTCGACGAACAACTGTGATGTTAAGGAAATTGAAAAAAATGCAGTCCGAAGGTCAAGGAGATATTCTCAAGTAAGATTTTAACAATCATGCGATAAAAATTGATAAGAAATTTTGACATGTGAATTCAGTACGGCTTTGGGCTGGACAGTGTTTTCTAGTCTTCTGAAGGAAGGAAGTCCAATAGGTGAAATGGAAATTTCTTTTTATTTCTAATATTTATGATTTCATATGCATATTGCTTTAGGTTTACATTATGGAATGTTTTTACCGGCTTTGAAGAAACTTGGGACAATTGGGCAACAATCTGAATGGATTTCCAGAGCATGGAATTTGAGTATTATTGGGACCTATGCGCAGACGGAAATGGGACATGGTACGTTCATTAGAGGCTTGGAAACAACTGCAACATACGACACCAGCACGAAGGAATTTGTGCTTCATTCGCCGACTATCACTGCTTATAAGGTGATTTGAAATTATTTTAAATTTCTTTGACATTACTAAACAAATTCTTCTAAGTGGTGGCCTGGAGGTCTCGGCCATACAGCGAACTACGCAATTGTCTTTGCCCAACTTTATACACTTGGAAAGCATCATGGACTTCAACCTTTCATCGTTCAATTGAGAGACGAAGAAACTCACAAACCAATGAAGGGAATAACGATTGGAGAGATCGGAAACAAAGTTGGATTCAACACTGTC